TTTTTTATTTTTTAAAAACGGGCATTTTTTTCTTTTTTAAAACAGAGGAACTATATCCATGTCAGGCTGGCCATGCATTCATGGTGCACACAACCAGCCATGCTGTTGAACGATACACGTACAATTTTTATGCTGCTTGTTGCATTGTGGGTAGTTCGTCTTGTTCTCATTCCATTCATATCTGGGACAACTTTTAGCGGAGACACGTTAGATTCGACCTTCAAGCAATTGCTGAATCGTTGTGATTCTTTTTTCCCATTTTATGTCTATTCAACATGAGACTATTCAGGACTGTCCCAGTACCTCATCTAGTCTTGGAGCATTATGATTTTGGTCGATGATCCATCGTATGGTTGGCATCAGTGAATTGATGAGTCCGTGATATGGTAGCCGTGAGAAATATAGGATGATATAATTCTGCTCCTGCTGAATATACCTATATATATGGCGAAAAATATGAGTGATTGGTACATAGCCATGGATGTTTGAAAATCCATTTTACCATGAGGAGTTTGTGACAAGATCATGATGTTGTACCGCTGCAGCGATCAATGTGCAGTAGCATCATTTAGTCACACTTGTTGACTCATACCATATTCCTTCATTTATGTTTTGAACTACCAAGTGATATAAGACTTTATCATGGAAAGCACCATTAGCACTTGTAACCTAATGTAGATTCCTATGAGAGTTTCCGACAAGGCCATGACTTTGTGCCATCATGGCTGGTGAGGTATGATAGTGTAATTAGGTACCATTCATTGAGCCATATAATATTCCCTCATTTATATTTGATTTACAAAACTATATAAGTGGGTTCAAATATTGTGTAAATTACAATGTCATCCAAGGTCATGCACGTGATCATCACCCTGCTCTGCAAGGCCAGAAAATCAGGACCCAAACACTCATTCACAAATGATGATTTATTTGTACATGTATGTGTCCTGTTTCTTTCACAGTAAATGACTAGTTCTTTGGTGCTACTGTGGTGTTCTCAATCAATTTTTTTGACCATTGTATCAGCCTCTAGGGTTCAAACATTTACAGGTATAGCTAAATTCATTGTCAATGACTGTTTACATCGACAGCCTCAGATTTTACTAATGAATTATTGTGGGTAACCCCAAATCATGTGACCAGTGCAAGTGGCTGAAATTGATTTGTCATTGTTTGTGCAGGACAGAGCAAGGTGAAAGTCAGCAATGCTAGAGTGCTCGAGCTTATAGGATGCTTAGGTAAGCCATTTGAAAAATTTCATGCAAGTTCCTTTCAATTTTGTTTCACCACTACTACTACCACCCTCTTGAGCTCAGTGTTTCCTGGCCTCCCTGGCCTTTCCTTGTGTTCCCTCCCCAGCCTTTCATGGTGCTCCCTCCTTGGCCTTTCCTCATGGTCCCTCCCTGGCCCTTCATGGTGGTCCCTCCTTGGCCTTTCTTTGTGGTTCCTCCCTGGCCCTTCCTCATGGTCCCATCCTGGCTGTTCTTTGTGGCTGCTCTGTCATCCATCTTGTGCTATTCCCTCTCCACTATCTTTCCCTATTTCTTTTTTTGTCCGTAACTATATATGTATTCTAATATATATAAAATTGATTTTCTTCATAAAATGAGTGTTAAGGTTGAGAATTATTTGGTGCTGGTGATAAGATGGCAGGTGGTTGCAGGCAATTTGTCATGTTCGCATTTTTGGTAGTTCTGTCCAACTTACTCCAGATAGTATCATTCTGATAGATATTATATAAATTTTAGGGGTAGACAAAGCTTTGTAAACCTTTATATTTTCGAGTCAATTACCTGATGTTTCATAGTTGTGAACCTTCCTTCTGTTATGGCATTATTGATTAATCTAGCTCAACTGTCAACTTCTGTCACACCTTCACTTCAACTGCGAGTTTGAGTGAAATCAGGACCTTTTCTCAACCATAAAATTTTGTAAGAAAATCAGGGAAGCTTCTTTCCTCAATAAGGCCAAACATAACAATGTGATTGTCAATAGCAGAATTACGCTGGTTCTTGTGATTATGTACTATATATTGTGATATATGGCCTTGTACTTTCTTCATGAGTTCACTGATGGGCTTCCAAAGTTATACTTTAGACTGTCCCGCCCTGAAGCAAGCACCATAACATAGGATTTAAATGTTTACTAGATGTTTAGTAGAAACATTTGGACTCTAACGAGCATTCTCTAAATGCCTGTGCTTGCTGCTCCACCACTGAGGTGAAACGGAACCCTCCTGAAAAATGATGTGTAAGGATCCATGATCCTTTATGCACAGACCTTACCTTTACATCAAAAATGGCAAAACCTGTCCATGTGACTCATTGATGTGAATAAGCTCAAATGCTTCATATCCGACTTACATGGATACATTCCTTCATCTCCCCTTTTCCATTTTCTTTCATTACCTTACCTTGTGCTTAGACCTCACCATCTCCTTGTTTCACCAAAGTATTTTCACCTTGCCATACACTTCATGTTCTTGTTCTGGCCTAGTCAAGTATTCAAAAACATATATATACTGCTCATGTACTCTCCTACCTACAGCAAATCTTAGAGTCAGATCCCCACTCCAAGCATGACCAAAAAGTCCCTCAGAAAGTCTCTGTCACGGCCATTTCCCAACTTGTCTCAAAACTATCCAACTCATCTCTCTTCAGAATCATTTTTGTTCACAATTCCCTACCGAACTCACACTTAGCCTTACATACTTTGGAGCCCACTGCAAGGGAATTGTTCCTAAACGATCCCTTGCATCCCAAGTCTGATTTGTCAGTCTATTACTGACCTTCTAGTCTCTCTCTCTTAAGCACCTGGTCATCTGACCACCCTTCTCATCATTTCAAAGTATTACCACCCCAACACACAGCTATGTCTTCAACAAGATGCACTGTCTGTGCTGGCCCCTTCAACAGACACCATACTGCCAAAGAAGCACCAGAATCGTGCTAACACCTATACTAGTAGTCCCCTCACCACCCTCTCAACCTCACTTGCACAACCTCCTGATATGACTGTTGTTACCCCGACTTGCCAAAAGCAGGAACAGTGCCTTAGAAGTGTTAGAGACTCCTCTGAGAGTCAAACAGAGTCCTCCCTATCAGATGACAACACTATAAACCAACTGATTCCCACCAACTCACCCTTTCCTTCACTTCCTCCCCAACCTATGTTTATCCTCAGACCGGCCGTATTCAATCTGGAAACTCCTATCCTTCCCCTAACGTCGACTGACATAGTAATTGAGGAAACAGCACCTCTGGTGACCACACTACCCCCTATACCCCAGCCCAAATTTCTCAAACCTCCTTCACTCCCATCCAAACCACTCAAAAACTCCACAAATCCCTTCATTACCCCAGCTCTTCAGGTTACTGCTCCTACCCCTAATGCTCCTCCCTCTTGCAAACCACCATCCTCCTCATCTCAGACACTCCCAACACCCTCCACTCTAATGTCAGCCTCGCCAGTCATGTCAAATGTGACTAAAGGAATGGTGGCCATGCCCAGACCTGGATCCCACAAAGTGCCATTGTTTGAGGGCAAAACATCCAAGCTCCTCAACTTCTTTGAACTCTTCAAGGACTTAGCTGCCTCCTGTGCACTCATGGATGAGCAAAAATGCAAGACCATTGTGAGATATACTGACACTCTCACCAAACGGTTTTGGGTTATGATATCTGGATATGAGAGCAAGGACTATGCGCTCCTCAAAAGGAATATCCTGGCCAAGTACCCCCATGCTAATTGGGGCATACAGTACACAATCCGAGACTTAGAGCACCTTATCCTCAACACCACAGAATCGGAAATCTCCACCAAAATGGAGCTCCTCCAATATTACCATCAGCTCTGTCCTATTGCAGCTTGGCTGATCACAAACTCTAAGATTATGGCTCGTGAATGTGACTGGTACTTCCTACAAGGACTGCCCCAGTCAGTATGCCAAGCTATTGACTGACAATTGGAACTTAAGGAGACGAACTATACCTGTAATGAAGCCCCAGATATCGAGAAAGCCTTAGAGGCTGGGCAATTCATTCTTTCAGATGATGCATATGATGCTGACTTACATGAACCTATTACCAGTTGCCTTAGATCGATATGCAAGGTGTGAGCCCCCAAATCCAAAGCATCCCACCATGATCTGGACTCAGATGAAGAAGATGAATGGTGAGATGTGCGATGAGAGGTGCAGACCAAACAAGTGGCCTTTAGAACCTCTGCCCCCGTTAAATCAACCAAGGACGAAGTCGACAACCTAGCTTGAAAGATGCATGGGCTTGATATTATGGATGCCGCCTATGCTGTTTGCTATACTCACCTTGCTGGCTTAATGCCAACTGCAGCTCAAGCATGGCCTTCACCTAAATCGCATCATTTCATCAGTACTGCACCTACCCAAGCATTGCATCATCCTTCCAACCTGCATCACCTCGTCAGTGCTGCACCCAGTCAAGCTCCAATGTCATACCTACCCCTCCTGCCTCTTCCATCTGCATCTAGCCAACAGCCAGGTCCCACATGTTTCTTCTGTGGAGGTCCCCATGTCATGCGTGCTCGCTCAACTGCTGGTGAATACTTATGGGCTGGGCAAATCATCTGAGAAGGGCAGTTCTTTGCCTTTCCAGATAATTCCTGAATATGACAATATGGGAATGAGACATTTCAACAGGGAATTGATGCAAGATATGCCTTGCCTGCCCTTTCAGTTCCTGCCACTGGATCCAATGCTATACTGGTAAACAATCCCTGATGTGACGCAGTGCCACAAACCTCCACTGAAATCCCCTCCTCCACCTTCATATCCGAATCCTACTTTCTCCAATGCACACCAGTAGCAGAGAATCATGTGGTGGTAGTCACACTTGAGGACAAAGAAGAAACTGATGCACTCGCTGTCACATGCTCAAGGGCCAAGGTAGCTGAAGCCAGCAGTCAACAGCCCTCAGACATGCCTAAACCAGCCACAACATTCAAATGTCAAGAAATGACCCCAACTCCCAAAGTCTTGAAAGCACCTGCATTCAAGTATGAGTCCAAAGCTGCCACACCTGATGCCACACCACACATCTATAGAAATATTTTAAACACAGTTGTACCTCACCTAACTGTTGCTAATCTACTTGCTATCAGCCCAGACTTGCGCAAGGAGGCAGTAGATCACTGTCAAACACAGCATGTTCCTATGACTATGGTGTCCATTTCCATCAACATGGCGATCTGCAAGTCTCCTACACCCCAGGTCGAGCATGCTGCTCCTCTAAGGGAACTCCAGGTAACCTTGAACAGGACCCATTTGGAACTAGGACTGTTAGATGAGGGATCAGAGATAGTTGTTACTCAAGAAGATGTTTAGAAGAAGATGAACACACCTATCAACTGCGACATCCACATGCACATGCAGACAGCTAATGGAAGCTTGCAGGAGATGGCTGGATGTCTGGAAATGTTAGAGATAGAAGTAGAGGGAATCAAAAGTTGGGCACATGCATATGTCATCCCAGAAGCACCCTACTGCCTACTTTTAGGACACCCCTGGCAAAAGCTCATCCATTTGTCCAAGTACGAAGACACAGACAATGTCTACATCACCATTCAGGATCCCCTTGATAGTTCAAATATTTGCACCATGGCTACATCCCCCTGTCCTTGGCCCCACCCATCCCTAGCCCTGACTGCAGCAGCAATCTCCATCACCCCCCAACAAGCCATAGCATGCCCTGCCATCCTACTGATGAGCTTGACAGATATCTACCATGCCATCCTACCAACAAGCTCAACGGACATATCAACCAAACCCTCTTATCCACCAACTCAACAGACATCTACCCTGCCATCATCATGCCCCTTCACATCCTGTATCACCTTCTCAACCTATGCTGAATTCATCCTACAGCAAACTTTCAATGTCAATATAAATTAATTCTTTGCCTACAAGAAAGTAGCTAATAAGGTCAAACCAGTTGCCACTACAATGCCAGCCCATGCATGTATTATCTGACAATTCCCTGAAGACCCACTTTTCTCACTTTTTTCTTTATCTCCCAATCCTCCCAATTTCCTACCTGGGATGTGCCTCACCCAAGAATGAATGAATGAACTCAGAGTATTTAGGAATGAATTCCTATGGCCAGAAGAATACAAACTCACAGCCCATGTTTTGATGAACAATGAATATGCCTTGGCCTGGGATGAGACCAAGAAAGGACAATTCTGAGATGATTATTTTCCACCTGTTGTCATTCCCACCATTGAGCATACCCCATGGGCCCACCATCAACCTCCCATCCCTCCTGGAATTCGCAATGAGGTCATCCGACTCATAAAGTCAAAAATTGCATTGGGAGTTTATGAGGCATTTAATAGTTCATATCAGTCCCAGTGGTTTTGCATAGTGAAGAAAAATGGCTCAGTATGCATCATCATGATCTCCAACCCTTGCATGCTATCACTGTGAAAGATGCCACCACACTCCCATACATCGAGCTATTTGCTGAACAATCTGCAGGACATTCAATTTACACCATGATGGATCTATTCATCAGTTTTGACCACTGAGCCCTATCAGACAAATCACAAGACTTAACCACATTCCAAATGCCCTTAGGCACCTTCCAACTCACCATACTACCTCAGGGATGGACAGACTCCCCTGCTGTCTTTCAGAATGATGTTGCCTTTATCTTACAAGCAGAAATCGAGATCGCACTGAACTTCCAGGATGATGTTAATGTCTTAGGGCCACATACACAATATGAGAAGGCAGATGGCTCATTCAAAGTCATTCCAGAAAATACAGGCATTCACAGATTTGTCTGGGAACACTGTGTAGACACTAATTGTGTTCTTCACAGACTCAAGCATGCTGGAGCAACAGTATCAGCAAAGAAGTTATTCTTGTGTGTTCCCAAAGTTCTCATAGTTGGTCAACTCTGCACATATGAAGGATGAAGCCCTGATGTCTCGAAAATCACCAAAATCAAGAATTGGCCACCATGTTCATCTCAGGCCAAAGTCCACAGATTCCTAGGTACAGCCAGAACAGTGCATAACTAGATTGAAGAATACACCCATATCACCAGACCCTTAACAAACCTTACCCACCTCAATGTCCCTTTCATCTGGGACTCAGCTGCACAACAGGCTATGGATGCCCTCAAAAATGCTGTTGTCTCATGCCCTGCAATCCGTCCTATCAATTACAGGTCACAAGATGAAGTGGTCCTGGCCATTGACTCATCACATGTTGCCTGCAGTTGGATCCTATTGCAGATCTGTAACAGGGAATGACATCCATCGCATTTTGGGTCTATCACCTGGAATGAACAAGAATCAAGGTACTCTCAGGCAAAGATAGAATTGTATGGCCTTCTAAGAGCCCTCAAAGCCACGAAAGTATGGCTGATTGGACTTAAGCAGTTCACTGTAGAGGTTGATGCAAAGTATATTTGTGGAATGCTCAATAATCCCAACATTCATCCCAATGCCACTGTCAATTGCTGGATAGCTGGCATCTCCCTTTTCAACTTCACCCTTAGACATGTCCCTGGAAAGAGACATGCAGCCCCAGATGGTCTGTCTTGATGATCCATGGCACCCAGAGATGAAGATGACCCAAATGAAATAGCAGAAGACATTGAGGAATGGATTGAAGAAATATTAGGGTGTGGAGTCTGGCTGGCGAAAGAAGTCAATAAGGAATGGTCTGCTGGAAGAATGTTCAGCACTTTAGCTTTCACCACCACACCACACTCACCAAATGATGAAATCCCTCCAAGTACCACCTCCTCCCACCTCAATAACAATCTATACACCATTCAAACCTATCTCAATACTCTGTCCTTCCCCTCAACCATATCTAGCCAAGATCGGTCTCACCTTGTTAAGCATTTGCACCAGTTTTTTGCACAAGGAAAATGGCTATGGCAAAAAGAACCTAAAGGATGCCATCAGTTAGTTGTGTTCAGAGCAGATCATGTATGCATCCTATGAGAAGCTCATGACCAGCTCAGTCACAAAGGCCTCTACTCCACTCAACTGTCATATCCCACAATCCGGACCCACATTCCATCATATTCCCATGCCTTCCGAGCCTACATCCAGACCCCACTTCATATCCAACTCATTCCCAGATCCCCTTCCACTGTGTGCTCCACACCTCAGCAGGATCAACTACACTCTGGATTTACCCCTGAGCTCTGGACCATTGGATCTCCACTGCTAACCTGATCCATACCCCCCTGTCCCATCCACCCTATGCACACTCCATCCAGCAAGACATCCAGACTTCACCTCATCTTGGATTCCAGACTATATCCACCTTCTCATATCCCAGTCCTGTATCCACCTTGTCTTCCAGATCCCCAGATCTCCAGACCTATTCCCACCCTCTGTCTGATATCCTGCGCCTATCCCCATTTAGACATCTCCATCTTTCCAGCATTTGGTTACCTCTTCTTCTGTCTTGCTTATTGATCCTTGTATGAGTCTTCATCTCCGGGTTCATTTAGTTATGTTCCATCTTACTTACTAATGTGTTTCCACATGCTCATACATAGCCTTGCTCCTTTGCTTACTGATCCCCTCAGATAGTCTCCAGTATATAACCCTTGTAGATACTCCTGTAGTTTCCTCAGTTTGAATATCATCTTAGATCCTGTTCTACTTGCCCAATCTTCTTCTGGACTTCAGTCCATCTGAGTTTGTCCTTTTCCATAAGGCCTAGGGATGGATTCCCTAGGCCGGAATTCTGGACCTTTGGATTTGTCCCCTATGTCTCTGTCCCAAGTCTAGAGATTGCTTCCCTAGGCTGGAGTCTTGCTTTTCCAGCACTTACCCTCTCTCCAGACTTTGGTCCACTTCCTGTCTCTCTGACTCTACCTAAGGGTAGTCTACCTCTGTTTACTTCTGCATTGGACTTTGTCCAATGTAGCCCCTATTCCTTCCAGACCTCCAGATGTCCTGTCCTTTGGACGTTCTGCCCTCCATACCTTCGGACATCCTGTCCTTCATACCTCCATGTTCTGTCCTGTGTACCTCCAGACCTTCAGTCCTCCTGTCCTCCTGTCCTCCTGTCCTCTGGACCTCCTACCCTTCCATCCCATTTCCTGTAGAAGTACTACCTTGCAGTGGGAACTCTCCTGAGCACTTCCTGCATTCCTCCAGAACTCTTCCATGCTCCTCCAGACATTTCCTGCGCTCCTCTGGAAGTCCTCTAGCACTCCACCAGTGTAGCCAGCCTCCAGACTTCATCAGACCATCATTGGACTTCCTCTGAAATGAAGGACACATACTCAGGTAAGGGGCACAGCGTACAAGCTGAGGCCAAGCCCCTCTGAGTCAGTCTCTCTCTCCTTTGAGCAACATGGTTCTTAACATCAATGTATGATTGCTGATTGGTTTTGGTGGCCAATGCTTGACAAGGACTTAGCATGGTACCTAAAAACATGTCATCAGTGTCAGACAAGATCTATTGCCAAAGTCATACTCCCACCTACTGTCGCCATTCCTGCACCATTATTTCGCAAGGCATACATTGACACAATGTTCATGCCCAGATCCCATGGCTATGACCATATTGTCCAGGCATGCTGTTCCCTCTCAGCTTGGCCTGAATGGAGGATGTTGAAAACTGAAACAGCTCAAACCCTAGGAGCATTTATTTTCGAGGACATACTGTGTAGATGGGGAGGATTAGATGAAATAGTCACTGATAATGGCTCACCCTTCATAGCTGCAGTAGAATGGCTGAAGAAGAAATATGGCATTCATCATATCCAAATCTTGGCATATAACTCCCTTGCAAATGGTGTCATAGAATGACAGCATCACACTATCCAAGACTCACTTGTCAAAACATGTGAAGGCGATATCATGCAATGGCCAAAGATGGTCCATCACATTTTCTGGGCTGATCGTGTCACTACTCAAAAGTCAACTGGGTACTCACCATTTTACTTAGCCCATGGAGTAGAACCCCTTCTCCCCTTTGATTTCATCAACACTACCTTCATGCTACCCAAAATCTCTTCTATCCTCTTGACCAATGACCTCATAGCCATCCATGCATGCCAACTTACCAAACGAGATGATGATCTCACCTTAGCACATGAGCAACTCCTCAAAAGCCATTTAACTTCAGCCAAAGATTTCGAACAATGAGCCTCTAGCACTATAGTCGACTATAATTTCGCACCAGGAGCTCTCATTCTCATCCTTAACAAGAAGATTGAGGCAGCCTTGAATGCTAAGTGCAAGCCCCATTATTTTGGCCCAATGGTTGTTGTTTCAAGATCAAAAGAAGGTTCTTACTGACTTGCTGAAGTGGATGGCTCAATCTCACATCTCAAATTCAGTGTTCCATCTTATACCATATCACCCTCATTCTCCAACTTCTCTTGAAGTCACATAGTATATTGACCCTCAAATGTTCAGTGGATGCTGAGTTAGAGACATCAGGAAAAACTCGAAATCTTGGTAGCCCTAGTGATGGCTACATAGTGCTGATAGCTGCTATAGTGAAATGTAGGCAAGCAGGTCACTATATGGTTCTACACCAGCTATGTAGCTAACAGTCAGGCTATATAAAGCTACAGCAGGTACCTCAAGTCAAACTGGTATTATGTAGTAATTTAATCAACCATAGCAGTCATACAAAATGTATCAAGGTCAATATAGGAATTTAAGTAAAAATCACTCGCCAACTCATAGGTGTTTGCACTTGTCCACCTGCAGTCAACAGACTGTCCCATCTTTGGAATCAGATGACATGGATGGACAATTTCATCAATGTGTATAATAGCTGCATTTCATTGCAGTCAACAAGTCGAATGTGACACCTGACGCAGGCCAGAAGAGGGGTCTGGCTCTCTAAGTGGAGTGAACCATTCAACGTAAGCCAGAGCTTGGGAGTAAGTCCCAAACTGACGAGGCAGCATGAAAATGATATGAACTTGGGCCACTTGCAAGTCTACAGTATCAAGGTAAGACCTCAAGCTTGGAAGAGTAACAGAGTCACTTACTATCTAATGTGCACAAACTCAATGTCCCAACACCATCACTTATCAATGCCATATCAAACTAAGCCAGAGCTCCAGGTTTCCGACCAGGACCAGAGTGTACTTCAGGTGTTGCTCGAATGCACCACCACTTTTGAGAATCATTGGCCTGCAGATTAGATGGAGCAACAATTACAACTTGATGAAAAACATCAAAATGGTCTTGTGGACCAGGGACAATTGTGTTGTGTGGGATGTGCTTTTGTAGGAAGGATTTGAATGCCTGGAGAAACATAGTTGTGCCATGTGTGGTGACAAGGTGCTGAATGGATTGCTGAGGGTATGCAGGGTTCTTTGCAAGAGAATGGACCAAACAAGGGTCAGTCATTGGTGCCATATTGGCAGGGTGTACAGCACTGCATGGCTGGGTTTGTAAGTCCTTGATCTCAGAGTCAGAGTCTGAAGACTCAGACTCATATCTGCATTCATCATCAACACAACTAGTCACTGTGGGCAACTGAGAGAGCCAATCAAGGTAGGAACGGCATAGGAACACTGCTTCCTGGCACTGAAGCCATTGGGCCATCTGCTCCTCATAGTCACACTTGTTACTGGTGCAGTAAGCTTCCTTCGCAAAGTCGATATGGAGTCATTCCAGAAGCTTGGTATTGAATCCATCAGTGGTACCAAACAATGAGATTGACTGAATGTAGTGTGAAAGTTGATGTAATTTCGGAATGTTGAAGTGCTCACAAACTTCAAGTTCTAGCAGGATATTCTTGTTGGCATGAAATACTGAAAGGGCATTATTCAGACAATCAAGGGATTCAGTTGTGTGGATTCGAAGCTGTGCATAATAAGAAAATCTAGAATGGCGCATGCAACTAGTAATACTTGACTGGTAAACAAATGTATCAGTGCAGGACTTCATTACATAAGGTTGGATTGTACCTTGGGACAGCACCAGCCAGTATCCCGAGGAAAACACACTGCATTTCTTTGTGTTCAGTGCCTGTCCACTGCTTTACCATAGATATCCCTTTCTTGAAGTGCCAAAGACCAGGATAATGAGGCATCACCTTGAACTGTGCATCCAATTCTTCTTCACCAATAATATCAAGACACCATTTCACCAAATGGTCCTTGAAGATGCCTTTGTGGAGTTGGTGTAGGAGGTCAGGCATGAAGGTGAGGAAAATGTCAGTGTGTGGGAGATCAGCCCAGAAAGGATTGTAGACAGTGCATAGTCCATACTCCTCAAACTCAGCCGGATGTTGACCATTTTTCCACTTCTCCAACACCTCTTTAATCAACTGAGGGTCCCACATCAATGAACTCAGTGGATCACCTCTTTTATCCTCCATGACCAGACATTTTGGACACCAGTTCTCCTTGCAGCATGCAACAAGACATTGTTCAGGAAAGTCTGCCACATAAGCAGCGAGGATCAGGTATACTCGGTGGATAAGTGAGTCTGCACAAACCATCTCAATGCCATCTTGACCTGCAGAAATGAGAGGTTAGAGGAGGAGGGACATGCAATGGTGAAAAAGTTGGTAACCAGCAAGAGAGTGTGCATCAGATGTAAAGCAATCAAGCTTTCCTGCAGGCAAGTACCCAATCAAGACTGTCGCTTGTGCTGACACTTGCTGCCTTTTTTCTTTTGTGATGTTGCCAATAGAAAGGTATACAGGCCATGCTGATTTATCACCATGGAACTGCAACAGACATGTCTTGTCTGATGCAAGAATGATAGGTGCTATGGTCACTCCTTTTGGCAACTCTTTCTGGTCATTGAAGGTCAGTACTTGTTTTCTTTGCTTGATGTTTTGGGCCAGGTACTTACTTGCTTGTCACCCCACCAGTCTGTGGTCCACATATCATCAACCACTCAGTGAAGTCCTGTGGGGTCTGTGTATGCTCGTGCAGGTGTGTACACCATATGGTCCTTGAACAAAGGATTTCCAATCATGTCTTTGATATATTTGACAGGATTGCACATCCAAAGGTCAATGTCCTCATGCATTTGCTGGCCTGTCTCAGTCTGTTTAATTTCCCTGGATGCTAACCTTCTTGCAGCTCCATGCAGCTCCATGCAGCAGCTCATTGACCTTCTGAAGGAACAAATGATTGTTGTGGAATGACAGGTCTCGTTCAATTTTTTGTCTATTACTATGGTCAGTGCCAATTTCTCTGCAGTCAATGCTGGGCTCACTATCAGTAACTTCAGAAACTCATCTGTTTGAGTCTGCCTGAGGCTTTTAATCAACAATGCAGCAAGTTCCCATTCTTCCCTGGCAACTAAAGTTAATTGTTTTGCAGACACGACAAATTTAACTTGACTCATATGCATCACAGAAGGGAGCCCACTCATTTTGACCTTCACCCTCCTTATATTTCCAATACTCTTCAAAACTAGTTTGACCCTCCCGCAATGTCCAGCCAGCATCAGGACATGGCTTGAAATATCGCCCTGCCTTGTCCTGTCTTCATTGGCCTCATCCTTGTCTTCAGTCGACAGCATCCTCAACTGTCACCTGCCAATTTTTGGATGTTGCTGGGTTGTCCTCATTGAAAGAATTGGATTGTGAGCACCAAAGTGGGGAAAACAAGACCTCTGGTAGGCCACCTTCATTGTCTGTAGTATTTTCACTGACCAGCATCTCCCATTGTCTTCTACATTCAGGGCAGGCAGCTATATGTTTACTAACACGTCCTCTTGAAGGAAACTCCTTGCCACAGAATTTGCAAATGTGAGGCATTGTTGGGTGAGTTGTTCAAGGGCATTCTGGCTCTGTTTTGAGACTAACTACTCACAGCACAGGTTACTACCAGACACTCCCTCACAAAATGGTAACATTGCTGGTAAGTAACATGCCCTCACAAAGTGCAAGAACAAAAGTAAGTAATACCAGATGCACCCTCATCCTCATCCCTGACTAATTATGTGCACTTTATTTTTCAGGTCTTGGCACTTTAGGGTTAGTCACTTGGTAACATCGCTGGTGAGTACTACCAGTCTCACAAAGTGCAAGAGCAAAAGTAATATGATCACTGATTACGTGCAGTTTATTTTTCAGGTCCTGGTGCTCTTATTTTCAGGTCCTGTGGCTGACACTACTACAGATAATGGAACTATGCTAGTCTGCAAATGCCATGGGTGGCGAGAAGTATCTCTAGTAGTTGCACCCACTTTGCCTCTTCACAACATTTTTCTTCTGCATCCCAGCAGGCAGTGATGAGTCTTGCATGGCCAGGCATGCCACTGACAGGCACTATTTCTAACAGTTGCAATTATTTAGCTTTCTGACAGGCCTTCAGTTCTGCCTCCCAACACTCCAAGACGAGTTTGTGTAAGTATGTTTGAGAAACTGAGATAGGGCCAGGTGTTTGACAAAAAGGAGGGAGCAGGTACATGGGCTCTGCATCTGGCACTTCACATTTTGGTATGCCAGGCTCTGCATTAGGCACTTCGAGCTTCAGCCTGCAAGCTAGTGAGTATTTTGGGGTGATGAGGAGGGGTAACTTGATTCACCTTTTGACGCCAATTTTCTTGTCTTTATAGGTAGCCTTAGCAGTTGGTGACATTGGCCTGTCATTTGTCAGAGCATGGTCATGGTGAGTATTTGACTTGAGCTCCATACTGTTTTCTGGCTGAGTTAGAAGTATCCACAACAGTATATATTGTGATGGTAACTGATGGTATGTTCATACCTTTTATTATTCTCAATCTAACACAGCTTTTAGCCCTGGATTCAACAATGAAACAAGGTTTAAATTGTGAGTGTTTGCGTCCTGCACAGCAGTATAAATTAGCTGAATGACAGGTCATTCGATCCTACCAAACTAGTGATCATGCCTCCTTACAAGGCCACCTCTAAGCAACTAACATCAAGTGCTGCACAGACACTTCCATGCACCACAAGTGGTCGACAACATCAACTAACTGAAAAAGAAAACTACTGAGGTAAGTCACTGCCATCTGTTACTACTACAATGTCATATTTCACTCACTCACAACACAACCTCACTCTACAGTATCTGAATTGCAACATACCATCTGTTGACAAATAGGCAAGGAACAGAAGTTGGAAAAGCAGAAAAAGAGGGTGCTGAAGACCGCCTATCAAGGCAACCCTGAAGTCTTTGAGACTGAGCCCTTGGAGCTGCATAGTGATGCAGACAGGGAAGAAGACACTATGGTTTGATCACTTGTTTTTTCAACTAGAACAATGGCTAATTATTTTTATTCAGTTCTCAGATCACAGCATGCAGACAAAGCTGTCTAATGCCAAGGTCCTAACATTCAGTGCAGGGAAGATTCCAATAGCATCACACACCATCAGTGGCAGTGCATGCAGGCTGACTACTCACCAGGACGCAAAGCTTCAAAAAGGTAAGTACTGGTAACTGTTTCATTAACTATAGCAAAACTAACATGCTTCTATGTATGCAACTCTAGTGGATGACACTACTAGCAATGAGTCTGGTGACTTGGATGACCCTGACAGCTTGGAGTCACACATATCAGCAGCTGACACTGAGCCAACATATCAATACCAAGGCTGACCACACCAATGACAACAACGCCATTAAAATATTACCTGCTACTCAAGGGACCAAACAACCATGGCACACTGTATCAGAAGAAGCCATGGTAGTGCTGAAGATAAAGAAAATATTCAATGGTCCACATCAACACATGAAAGCTAGTGATTTCAACTGAAATCTCAAAGGAGATCCTTGGAACTGCAACCTCTATTTTCTGGTGCCTAATTGTCAAACAGGCGCCATTTCCTGATGGTGTGGTTGTTGAGATGAGGTTAGCAAAAGAGGCCTGGCATGAGGCATGCAAAATCAAAGGCATCAAAGTCAAATTAACACCTTCAGTGGTCAAAATGGTAAGCTCTCCATTCTTAGTACATGGCTCATCTGATTTTTATTATATATTATGAAGCTACTGCTGCACATATCACATGTGCACAGTGAACTCAAAATGAAGATGCAATCACTCACTGGTTCATTTTTTGGATTCTGGTCAAGTCATTTGAAGGAGGTGATAAGGAAAAACTGAGATCTGGCTGAATCTTTGAGGGACAGTTCAGCATTTGCCTTCAAGGTGTGTAGCACAATGGCCTACATGACCTTTTGAGTCCTGAATGTTGGATACTAGGACTGGACATTGAAGACAGGGATCTACAAATCTGAATTACTGCAAGATGGTATCAACATTATGTGGTTTGCAAACTGAAATGACAAGGGTATCATTTACCACAAGTATTTCAACCCCATGCCTATTGAGGTTGTTGCCCTCAGTGCTTACAGCTGTGAGTTAAGTCTTGTATTCTTATATTAATGTCAACAGTGCTGATTATTGATAGATTGAATGTTGTATTGATGAGTGGTTACAAGGCCTGAAGGAAGACATCAAATTCACTTCGGCTGCTTATGCATCTGTTTACAAAGCTCATTTTGACTCATTGCAGCACTTCCATGAGCATATGGAACCTTACAAACTCCTTGAAAGACTTTGTGACAGTTTGCATGACAGGGCTCAGTACATCACACTGTATTTTCACAAGTGCCAACCTAACATATGTGCCTTTAAGTTTGCATGCAGGTGTTGAAGCACTCGCTATGCTGTTGCCTGCATCCCAGATTGGTGACAAGGCATTTGATGATGTGATTTGAGAGTACCAGCTCAAGGAGCATGGTGATGGAGAGGCTAATGAGAGTTGAGGCTCACAGATGTGAAGAGGACATGGAGGATCATGCAAGAATCTGTCAGTAGCTCTGTTTTAAGCATTCTGAATTCATTTGTTTCCATGCTATTTTGTGTGCTACTGTATCCCTCTATATAGCTGCTACTAGCAGCTGGTAGCTCTCTGTACTAGGCAGTCCTATGAACTACAGGCTACTACAGTAGTGCCTGGTAGTGCTACCTGTTTCTACATGGCACTATGTAGCATGACATAGTTGCCTTACTTTCTATATACAGGGGGAGTAACAACTGAGCTACATGGTCGATTCAAACCATATAGTACTACATAGTCAGCGATATTTTTCCTTTCCTCTTTGACCGGTTCCATTTTGTTCAGAATATGATAGAGAAATAGTTTAGTTTATTCATTGGAAGATCAACCAAGGGCAGTCAATATTCAAGTAAGGGGGTGATGTAAGGATCCATGATCCTTTAGAGCTAGTATGGTAACTGAAGTTCAGCTGCCATAGCCAACTTCAGATGTCTCAGCTCACATCGAGCCAAGACAGAGCTTGAACCTTCTTGACCTCTTGCAATGACCTCACTCCAGTGGCATGTGCCTCATAACCTTAATCTGCAGGAGCAGCGCAGGCAAATCATACCAATTATAATTGGAATTTTCATTACTATCCACTACCAACTATTTCTCATGTCTCAAGAGTCAAAGCCCAAGAAGGCTCCAAAGGCAATCTGGAATGATGCAGAGACAGATGCCCTTATCACATACCTCCACACAGAACGTTCGAAAATAGGAGACAGCAGGAATTTCAAACCACAGGTTTACAATGACACTGCAACTGCCATCACAGCACACTTGACCCTTGGCCCAATAAAGACTGGAGGCCATTGTAAGACCAAATGGCAATCAGTATGTTATTGATCTATCTATCTAGTAATGGCTACTGATCTTGAGATCCCTAGTTGAAGACCATTTACCACATTATTGAAAACTACTGCCTTCACACATCTGGCACTCACTGGGATAATCAGATCGGAGCTGGTATTGAGGGGAAGGCTACGAGTGATGTATGGGATGCATATATGGAGAAGAAGGTCAGTTGGTATCACCATCTACAGCTGTTACTTATGCTTGAGTCACTGTAGGCCAACCATGTCATGTGTCCTTACAGAAACACTGGATGGACCTATTACACTCAAATGCAAGAGATTATGCCAAGTGGCAGTGGTGCTCGAGGTCATGCTGCCTATCGCCCATCTAGGGCTGCAGCACCTGCCCTTGTGGATGACTCATCTGACCAGGGTTCCGCAGCTCACATGGATGCCAATGTTGTTGCTGGGCCTGCAGTGGATGCTCACATGGGTGAATTTGAGGCTGAAGAAGTTGGTTGGGGCCATGTGCCACATGATAATGCTGTGATTGCTGGAAGTTCCAAAGTCGCTGCTGCTCTGCTTTCTCTACCTTCTCTCTCTACTAGGACACCAAGCGCTGGGAAATGGACCCATTCAGACATGACTGGCACAGACACACAATCTCTTGCACCTCCTCCATCCACAACATTCACATCAGTATCACAGCAAGAGTCAGAGTTGAAGAAAGCCAAGGTCTCCAGCTACGGTGGTGTCGCACACATCAAACCTCAACCTGAGGCTAGCACTAGTAAGGTCATCAAACCCACAAACACCGTCGCAATGATAGGCATGCAAGGTGCCCTCAACCGCCTCACTGATACATTAGTGACACAGATGGTTGCCACTGACAAGAGCCGGACAACTGATGAGTGAAAGCTTGCTATTCATATCCTGCAGGAACAAGATGCTGACCTGTCACTGGAGGATAAAGTGGCACTGATGAATATATTTGTGAGAAACAATGGAGTTACTAGCTTTTACATTGAAACCACAGATCCCACTTTGCAACACACTTTCATTCACTCTGTCATCCAGCAATTTGCCAGCATGTAGTTCAAGTCTTTCCGAGCATCATATCATGTACAATAAGTGCAGTTCTCATTTGTAGTCACTACATGTACAGTACTACAATTCATCGTCATCGTCAAGAATGTCATCATCAATGTCAACTATGGAAAAGTCATCTAAAATGCCTCATTCAGCTAAAATTAACTGGTAATCATCCCACATTTTCTGTGTGATATGGTCCCGTAGTACATTCGCATTGTTGATGACCTTAAGCTGCCCTGCCACTGGCATGTCAGCAGGCTGCCCTTGATATTCTGGGTTGTCATTGTCAAAATCGATGCATCTCTCAGGAAGAAGGCCTTCCTTGAGATTGTGAGTGCAAATGAAGTTGTGGATAGCACATAGAACAGTGGGAATGCGTGCTTGAACCTCCATCTTGTACTCAGGTGACAAGAGGAGGATACAAAAGCACCATTTTAGTATGCTGAATATTCTTTCAATAACATTCTGTGCAGAGGCATGGCAAAGGTTATATAGTTCCTGTTTATTGGCAGGTCTATTGACCATTAGAATTGAAAACACTACAAAGAAAAATAAAAATGCACCTTATGCTGGCACAGCCCCATTCTGCAAGATGATATCGGACACCATGGTAAGGGACAAGGAGCTCCTTGCAGGATGGGAACCCAGCATCACCAAGGAGATACTTTTGATGGGGGATGTCTAAGTCATCTGAATGAGCCTCCTCCCATAGACATGCATCTGTCACCAAACGCTCCCAGCCAGTCTCTGCATGAATAAACTTGAGGTCCCAGTCACAGGTGAACAGACAATTTTGAGATACAAAGCCCTTTCAATTGCAGTAGAATGTATGATCACATGAAGGGGGGGACGCATGAATATGGCTGCTATCTATGGCACCAATAGCACCTTTGAAGTAGGGCCAGAACTTCAGGTCATTGCAAATCTTGTCAGGGATGACACTGCCATCCAGAAAGCATACATGTGTTGAATAAAATGGAGGGGATGTGAAAATGAACAATATTTTGTGAAAGTACCTGATACAATGTCAAGGCTGACTGTTATTGATAGATCCAAGACTTACTTTGAAATCGTATTGCTGGATCTTTGGAACCACTCTCCAACATGTCTGATTGTCAGACCAGTGACACAAGTATACAGAAAAATGGCCAATTGTTCTTCCAGTGAGACATAGTGAGAGTTACCATGACTGAGACCACAAAGCTCCTCAATCAGCTTCTTGAAGACATGTGTATGTATGCCAAGTTCACAGCAGATGTACTGAGGATGGCCAATGATCAATTCCATCAGCCATTCTTCACCCTTGAGTGCTGATGTGTGATATGGTTCAGGGTCTTTTGGTAATCCGGTTTGTATAAACAATTCAGTTGTAGCGATAATGATACTGATCATGAGGATCACATATTGAGTGAGTCAGTTCATGGACCACTGATGCAGCGGATTTTGCCTGATCCAATGGTAGAATGAATTGACTGAGTAATGGTCAGAAATCAACATGGTCTATTGAACAAATGGTTGAGGGGTAATGGAACCATGTTGCGATACACAGTGAGCTCATCACAATCAGTCAACGATGCTGACTGGCACATTGAAACTCAGTCACTGGCTTGTGCTAAGCAAACACATCTGAAGTTGGCTACAGTGCAGCTGAACTTCAGTTACCATACTAGCTCTTACTTTTTGTAATCAGTCTTCTGACCACATCCCGACCTTCTTGTTATCTTTGCGCATCTTTGCATCCTCGATGTACCTCCACACCTCCACCTTAACCTCATTGGTCTCTACTTTGTAGAGGTTTGCTGTCTCCTTTTTGATAATGGCAACTCGCATTCCATTTGTGAGTGCCTTATTTTTGGCTTGCAGTGCTTCAGCCTCTGCCTTTAGTTTGTTATTGACTATTGATTTAATGCACCTCTGGTAGTACAGTTTAGAATATGCCTCAACTTCCTGGAGGGAGTGCATGGGCTTTTGCACCTCAGTGACACTCTTCAGCACTGCACTGAAGATGTTTGTGGCCTCAGCCCTTGCTTGGCAACCTGTCTTTGTGGCCCTGAGGCTGTTTTTGAAACAGTTTTCTAATTTCTGTAAGCCCCCATTAGTTTGATCATGTCAACAGTTCATTTGTTGTGACATACCTTTTTCCTGTCAGCTTCAGCCTGATCCATGACAATGATCTTGTCCCTGGTCAGGGGCCCAATGAGGGGCAGTGTAGTTGGCCTTGGCTCTGGGAATACTTCAAGCCACTCTCCCACCAAGTTAGTAAAGAAATTTGCCCAGTTTTTAGCTTTGTCTGATTGTTTTTTGCAGGTACTTCTCATACCATGGACTCAGCCATTCCTCTTGTTTGGAAGAGGTCCATTTCTGGGATGCCATCTATATCAGGTGTTATGCAATGAGCCCTGTCATTTTGAAAAAGTTCACATACATTGCTTCACACGATCATGGGATGGGTATGTTTACTTGGCGAGGGTTGAACAATAACAGTTCAGCCATTGGGCCCCCAAACATCCCATGCATGGGCCATGACAGTAGCAAGTGCACCCATATTTTGTAAGTAGCATGCGCACTGGTGATTTGACTCTATTCATGTGCGTAGTCAATTATGTACTGACTACTGAGATGCTCAAATCTTGATCCCCTTCTGATACATCAGCTCTCCCAACAAGTGTGCTGCTGTAAGCTTGGGAACTCCTCCAGACATTTCAAGCATCTGAATGTCCTCCAAATATGCAACACTAGTCCTTAGGAATCGCGAGACTGTGTCTGCAGCATGCCACTCAGGTGAGACTCCACAGAAGTTGAGAATCTGGTCTTGCACAGGGATTACATGTTTGAGTAGTTTTTTGATATTGGCAATTGAGTTTGCAATTATTGAGATATCACCCTTAGTCATGTGATCATCTGGGATGCTCTTGACAAACTTGGCCAATTCACCCTCAGGCAATTCGCATGGGTCAGCACCAATCAATTTGAGCATGTTGTCCTTGGCAGTGTTTGATAGTGAGTAAGCAGCTTGGAAGATCTGATCTATTAGATGAGTCAATAGCTTGTGTTCCTATTTTTAAAACAAGAATAGAACTCACAGTGTGTCAATTTCATCATTGTCACTGGAATTAATGGTGTCCAGTTCAGATTCATTGTCATTGTCACAACCATGCAAGGCTTTCTTCACAGCTCTCGCAATCTCTTTTGATAATGCATCTGCTTCCTTGTCACATTTCTTTATGCACATATGAAGATCCTTCCGCCTTTGTAAAATATCGCCTCTATGTCTTCACAAGTTACAAATGGGTGTCAGGAACAGTGTTGGGAACAATTCATAAAACTATGACATACTTGGCATAATAGTGCCAGTGCTTTTCTCTTGCAGCCTCCATCTTTGCTTGGAGTGTTTTATGAACGACTGGACAAGCCATTGGTTGGAGAGTGTTTAAGTTGACAATTGTAGTGGTGGTGGTTCAAAATTTAAAGGTTGAAAAGAAGCAGAGGTGAAAGAAGCTTCTGGAGTTTGCCTCACTCAGACACATAGCTGGAACTTGGTACGACCAAAATAAATACATTGTACTATGTGTGCTGTATATCCTATTGAGTCAATAGCAAAATGTGTACTGTATCAATTAAGTAGGCCTTCCAGAGTTGTATGTACAAGGTGCTTTATTTCATCACATTATTGCTGTGAATGGTGGTGGTAATGGTCGTACTAATACTTATAATTACCACTACAGGTAATCATTACTGTCTTGATAGTGCTCTTCAGTCTGACCAAAACTCATTGCTTGACCATTTTGGGTTTTTGGTGCTTAAAACTTAGCAGAATGCATGCAGTATCAACTATGTAGGCCTTCCAGAGTCATACAGTGGACTTTTTTCATCAATATGACCACTATGAATGGTGGCAGTAATGGTCATATCACAATATTAGCACTCTTCAGTCCGACCAAAACTCATTACTCAACCATTTCAAGTTGTAGGTGAATACAACTTACTTTCACACAACTGTCAGTGTCTCTGGCCCTCCCACCTACTAGTAAGCTTTCAATTTCATCCTACAAGGCCATGACTGCAAATTGGTGCAGTCTCTGTAGCTGTACATGTATTATCTGATCATATCGCTTGATCATGCTTGCTCACAAGTTCATTACGTCAATTTGTAGCTTCTTTGATGGATTCATAATTCTACATGCTTGGATATATCGACAGCATGCATACTGTGAGGCAACTGTGTGACAACGTCCACTACACCTTCAACTGTTTGCTCACCAATTACAATGGCAGCTAGAGCAGGTGGTCATCCCAGCAAGAAGCCCTGTCTAGTTCGCTCAAGCTATTCTCTGTCACATTCTGTTGGGTGGCCTTCTCAAAATGTCCACCATCACCGAATATTCACTGTACAACCTACTGGACAAATCAATCTATGCACGAGATATCTTGATGCAGTCCTACCTGCCAGTGACATCTCTGATGCCGAGAACGATGATGGTGCTAACAGTCATGACATGGATCCCTGGAATGAGACTCAATATGATGACAGTGAGCCTCAGGCTCATGACAATGTCTTTGTTGTGAAAGAAAAACAAAAGTGGACCACTGGAGTGAGTAGAAATCCTTTCTATTTTTCCCAAAGAAAACAATGAAACTGACTTCCGTGTTATCTATTTAAATAGGATGATCCAATGGGCCTCTGGGTGCATGAATGCCAACATTATCTAGATGAATTCATTCGATTAGAAGGGCATGGAAGAACGCATCATGCATGCCATGTCTGCAGAGACTCAGATGCACCTTATTGTTGTGAAGATTGCTTTTCAGTCAATTTATTTTGCTGCTTGTGCATGATTACACTGCACCAGAATTTACCACTTCATTGAGTCAAGGTCAGCATTTTGAATATTTAGTGTTCTTTTTCTGATATCATCATTTTAGAAATGGCAGGATGGATATTTTCACTCTGCGACTTTGAAGCAACTTGGATTGTGCATCCAATTGGGAGACCATGCTGAGCAACTTTGTCGCAATCCCAAACCTGCCAGAAACAACAACTTTGTCATAATTGACATCCATGGAATACACAAGGTCACACTTGACTTCTGTGATTGCACCAATGCATCCTCCCACTACAGACAACTTCTCCACAGGCAGTTGTATCCAGCAACTTCAACTGACCCAAGGACCGCTGCAACATTTGCAGTACTCGAACATTTTCACCTCCTATCATTTGAGTCCAAAGGCCCTGCTTATGAGTTTTACCACTCCCTCGCATGTTGAAGTGATAACACAGGCATAGCACCCATCAAGGTAAGATTCATTCCTTACTTCAGTTGCACCATGCCAGCCACTTAACCAATCTATGCACACAGGATTGCTATTCAGTTTTTTTGAGAATCATGAAACAATGGCGGAATCTCAAGTCATTGAAATGATCAGGTAGTGGTCATGACCCTGCCGGAGTGGATGCAACACAAGAAGGTCAATTAGCAGTCCTATGCCCTGCATGCCCACAGTTTGGAAAAAATGTCCCTAACGACCTGGAAGATATCAGTCCAAACCAATGGTGTGTTTCCTTCTATCTACTTGTTCTAATTATTCACTGATGAGCTATTCACAGTTGGCTTTACTCATTATTCTTGGCAATCAATGCCAATTTTCGTCTCAAGTGTCATTTTGTATCAAATGATGTCAAGGATCCCGGACTAAGTCATGGATGGGGTTATTTCATGGAAGAACGATGGTATAAGGCACACCTTCACGATCATGCAGACAAGGTGCAAGAGGTATGTCGTTGAAACTGAATATAATTCTTGTAGACTAATATATAGTTTAGAAGAGCTTGTGCATCAGCCACAGCACTGTCAACATGGCAAACACAAAAACCTCCAAAGGACTTGCTGCGACTGGTGTAGGTTCAGTTGTTTGCGCACAGCATGACATGCAGCTAGCTAATGGTGTTGGTGATTTACAAAAGGGCGAAAGTAAGTGATTTCAAAGATGGCATTGCGACAGGTGCTTATGATAGTCTGTCAGATATACAGTTTTTGAGCAACTGTATATCTGACAGACTATCATAAGCACCTGTCGCAATGCCATCTTTGAAATCACTTACTTTCGCCCTTTTGTAAATCACCAACACCATTAGCTAGCTGCATGTCATGCTGTGCGCAAACAACTGAACCTACACCAGTCGCAGCAAGTCCTTTGGAGGTTTTTGTGTTTGCCATGTTGACAGTGCTGTGGCTGATGCACAAGCTCTTCTAAACTATATATTAGTCTACAAGAATTATATTCAGTTTCAACGACATACCTCTTGCACCTTGTCTGCATGATCGTGAAGGTGTGCCTTATACCATCGTTCTTCCATGAAATAACCCCATCCATGACTTAGTCCGGGATCCTTGACATCATTTGATACGAAATGACACTTGAGATGAAAATTGGCATTGATTGCCAAGAATAATGAGTAAAGCCAACTGTGAATAGCTCATCAGTGAATAATTAGAACAAGTAGATAGAAGGAAACACACTGTTGGTTTGGACTGATATCTTCCAGGTCGTTAGGGACATTTTTTCCGAACTGTGGGCATGCAGGGCATAGGACTGCTAATTGACCTTCTTGTGTTGCATCCACTCCGGCAGGGTCGTGACCACTACCTGATCATTTCAATGACTTGAGATTCCGCCATTGTTTCATGATTCTCAAAAAAACTGAATAGCAATCCTGTGTGCATAGATTGGTTAAGTGGCTGGCATGGTGCAACTGAAGTAAGGAATGAATCTTACCTTGATGGGTGCTATGCCTGTGTTATCACTTCAACATGCGAGGGAGTGGTAAAACTCATAAGCAGGGCCTTTGGACTCAAATGATAGGAGGTGAAAATGTTCGAGTACTGCGAATGTTGCAGCAGTCCTTGGGTCAGTTGAAGTTGCTGGATACAACTGCCTGTGGAGAAGTTGTCTGTAGTGGGAGGATGCATTGGTGCAATCACAGAAGTCAAGTGCGACCTTGTGTATTCCATGGACATCAATTATGACAAAGTTGTTGTTTCTGGCAGGTTTGGGATTGTGACAAAGTTGCTCAGCGTGGTCTCCCAATTGGATGCACAATCCAAGTTGCTTCAAAGTCGCAGAGTGAAAATATCCATCCTGCCATTTCTGAAATGATGATATCAGAAAAAGAACACTAAATATTCAAAATGCTGACCTTGACTCGATGAAGCAGTAAATTCTGGTGCAGTGTAATCATGCACGAGCAGCAAAATAAATTGACTGAAAAGCAATCTTCACAACAATAAGGTGCATCTGAGTCTCCGCAGACATGGCATGCATGATGCATTCTTCCACGCCCTTCTAATCAAATGAATTCATCTAGATAATGTTGGCATTCATGCACCCAGAGGCCCATTGGATCATCCTATTTAAATAGATAACATGGAAGTCAGTTTCATTGTTTTCTTTGGGAAAAATAGAAAGGATTTCTACTCACTCCAGTGGTCCACTTTTGTTTTTCTTTCACAACAAAGACATTGTCATGAGCCTGAGGCTCACTGTCATCATATTGAGTCTCATTCCAGGGATCCATGTCATGACTGTTAGCACCATCATCGTTCTCGGTGTCAGAGACATCACTGGCAGGTAGGACTGCATCAAGATATCTCATGCATAGATTGATTTGTCCAGTAGGTTGTACAGTGAATATTCAGTGATGGTAGACATTTTGAGAAGGCCACCCAACAGAATGTGGCAGAGAATAGCTTGAGCAAACTAGACAGGGCTTCTTGCTGGGATGACCACCTGCTCTAGCTGCCATTGTAATTGGTGAGCAAACAGTTGAAGGTGTAGTGGACGTTGTCACACAGTTGCCTCACGGTATGTATGCTGTCGATATATTCAAGCATGTAGAATTATGAATCCATCAAAGAAGCTACAAATTGATGTAATGAACTTGTGAGCAAGCATGATCAAGTGATATGATCAGATAATACATGTACAGCTACAGAGACTGCACCAATTTGCAGTCATGGCCTTGTAGGATGAAATTGAAAGCTTACTAGTAGGTGGGAGGGCCAGAGACACTGACAGTTGTGTGAAAGTAAGTTGTATTCACCTACAACTTGAAATGGTTGAGTAATGAGTTTTGGTCAGACTGAAGAGCGCTAATATTGTGATACGACCATTACTGCCACCATTCATAGTGGTCATATTGATGAAAAAAGTCCACTGTATGACTCTGGAAGGCCTATGTAGTTGATACTGCATGCATTCTGCTAAGTTTTAAGCACCAAAAACCCAAAATGGTCAAGCAATGAGTTTTGGTCAGACTGAAGAGCATCATCAAGACAGTAATGATTACCTGTAGTGGTACTTATAAGTATTAGTACGACCATTACTGCCACCATTCACAGCAATAATGTGATGAAATAAAGCACCTTGTACATACAACTCTGGAAGGCCTACTTAATTGATACAGTACACATTTTGCTATTGACTCAATAGGATATACAGCACACATAGTACAATGTATTTATTTTGGTCGTACCAAGTTCCAGCTATGTGTCTGAGTGAGGCAAACTCCAGAAGCTTCTTTCACCTCTGCTTCTTTTCAACCTTTAAATTTTGAACCACCACCACTACAATTTTCAACTTAAACACTCTCCAACCAATGGCTTGTCCAGTCATTCATAAAACACTCCAAGCAAAGATGGAGGCTGCAAGAGAAAAGCACTGGCACTATTATGCCAAGTATGTCATAGTTTTATGAATTGTTCCCAACACTGTTCCTGACACCCATTTGTAACTTGTGAAGACATAGAGGCAATATTTTACAAAGGCAGAAGGATCTTCATATGTGCATAAAGAAATGTGACAAGGAAGCAGATGCATTATCAAAAGAGATTGCGAGAGCTGTGAAGAAAGCCTTGCATGGTTGTGACAATGACAATGAATCTGAACTGGACACCATTGATTCCAGTGACAATGATGAAATTGACACACTGTGAGTTCTATTCTTGTTTTAAAAATAGGAACACAAGCTATTGACTCATCTAATAGATCAGATCTTCCAAGCTGCTTACTCACTATCAAACACGCCAAGGACAACATGCTCAAATTGATTGGTGCTGACCCATGCGAATTCACTGAGGGTGAATTGGCCAAGTTTGTCAAGAGCATCCCAGATGATCACACAACTAAGGGTGATATCTCAATAATTGCAAACTCAATTGCCAATATCAAAAAACTACTCAAACATGTAATCCCTGTGCAAGACCAGATTCTCAACTTCTGTGGAGTCTCACCTGAGTGGCATGCTGCAGACACAGTCTCGCGATTCCTAAGGACTAGTGTTGCATATTTGGAGGACATTCAGATGCTTGAAATGTCTGGAGGAGTTCCCGAGCTTACAGCAGCACACTTGTTGGGAGAGCTGATGTATCAGAAGGGGATCAAGATTTGAGCATCTCAGTAGTCAGTACATAATTGACTACACACATGAATAGAGTCAAATCACCAGTGCGCATGCTACTTACAAAATATGGGTGCACTTGCTACTGTCATGGCCCATGCATGGGATGTTTGGGGGCCCAATGGCTGAACTGTTATTGTTCAACCCTCGCCAAGTAAACATACCCATCCCATGATCGTGTGAAGCAATGTATGTGAACTTTTTCAAAATGACAGGGCTCATTGCATAACACCTGATATAGATGGCACCCCAGAAATGGACCTCTTCCAAACAAGAGGAATGGCTGAGTCCATGGTATGAGAAGTACTGCAAAAAACAATCAGACAAAGCTAAAAACTGGGCAAATTTCTTTACTAACTTGGTGGGAGAGTGGCTTGAAGTATTCCCAGAGCCAAGGCCAACTACACTGCCCCTCATTGGGCCCCTGACCAGGGACAAGATCATTGTCATGGATCAGGCTGAAGCTGACAGGAAAAAGGTATGTCACAACAAATGAACTGTTGACATGATCAAACTAATGGGGGCTTACAGAAATTAGAAAACTGTTTCAAAAACAGCCTCGGGGCCATAAAGACAGGTCGCCAAGCAAGGGCCGAGGCCACAAACATCTTCAGTGCAGTGCTGAAGAGTGTCACTGAGGGCAAAAAGCCCATGCACTCCCTCCAGGAAGTTGAGGCATATTCTAAACTGTACTACCAGAGGTGCATTAAATCAATAGTCAATAACAAACTAAAGGCAGAGGCTGAAGCACTGCAAGCCAAAAATAAGGCACTCACAAATGGAATGCGAGTTGCCATCATCAAAAAGGAGACAGCAAACCTCTACAAAGTAGAGACCAATGAGGTTAAGGTGGAGGTGTGGAGGTACATCGAGGATGCAAAGATGTGCAAAGATAACGAGAAGGTTGGGATGTGGTCAGAAGATGATTACAAAAAGTAATGATTCATAAATTTGGATCTGTCAATCAGTTAACATGACTTCATAGAAATCTAGAAAAACTTGCTGCTATGGTGAACAAATTTTTGAAGGGACTTGCAGATGTGACAGGCTTCTTGTTCTCCCTCCTGGCAGGTGGCCCTTCTCCAGAGCTTGGTGGATTGATTGATGTCCACAGGCAAGTCAACTACACTAATCTGTAGAATGTAGTACTCACCTTGGGTATGAAGTTTCCATGTAGGCAAAATGAAGTTCGGAAATGACTTTGGCAAGGCATACCCAGACTTTGAGAATGCTATCATGTCTCCTTTTTGAGATTACCTGTACCACATTTATCGTAAGTTCAGATGTTTCCAGTGATAGCCTGTCTGACTCACATATCCAAATCAACAGCAGATGCTGCACCAAGTTTAAAGGCAAAGGCAGGAGGTGTGGAAGATCTGAATGATGGTGATGGCGGTGATTGTGTAGAGTTAGGAAATCAACATGAATCACACAATATCATATTTAGTCATGTGACTTCAAGTTCGCTTACTACTGCACCATTGGATAGTGTCCCAGATACATCCAAGTCCGACCTTCCTGGAAACTCCACTGACATCTGGCAAGATGATTTTTTCTGGGAAGGACTCACCACTCAAGTTGATGGATTTGCCATGTCAGGTGGGAATCCAGACTTGCTGCTCTTACCTCCCTACCCACACAGTCCTGCATCTGCCCTCAATTCACCATCATCTCCAACAACTCTGCCACTCTCTTCACCTAGCCTTCCCACAGACACTTTCCCTGGAGCTTCAGTGCTACCTCCAAATGAATCCCCCACACATCCATCAATTTCTTCATCTCAGCTTCCTGCAGACACTTTCCCTGAGGTTTCAACACTACCTCCAAATGAATCAGTCTGCATCGTGCCACAGAGCTCACCTGCACCTCCTTCAACCACTCTGCCTCCTACACCAGCTTTGCATCCACACAGGACTGGTCGTGTATGTGTTCCTTCATTGCACAATGTTATTGCCAATAGCATTGGCAATGATCATAATGCTGGCAAGCATTGTGGAGTGGCGGTTGAAACTGGTGTCTCAGGCCACAAAAAGAGGTCAGTCAATAAAATCTTCTAGTTTGTCTAGTCAGCTGAGCAAATTTTTAACAAACAAGAGGTGAAAAGTTTGATATTTTGAAGGTCCAATTGTACCACACCTTCCACACTATTGTTATACATAGTTCATGCACTAATTCATCCTTGCATTGTCTTGATAATAAAATCAACATTCTTCCTATCTCAATTTGTGTAACTTACACATGAGAACACTCCAGCTGCCCCCCTCTGCGCCCAAAGTTAATGTTCATCTGTGAATTTCAAACTTAGCTGCAACAATACGAACATCACGTGACACAAAGTTGAACTTGCACTGTGATAGTGATGGCACAACTCCGAGTCAGTCTTCAGTGCTACAGCAATGAAATTCCGATGTTATCATAAGTACCTGTCTGCCTTTGCAATCTGCATTCAAGATGACATGAAACTGTGTCCTTCATCTGCGAACTTGAACTTAGCCACGAGAATGCGGACATCACATGACAAAATGTTGAACTTGCACTATGATAGTGGGTGACTATCCATAGGCTAAATAATCTAGAATAGATTATAACGGACTTTAAAATGCATTTGCAAAAGATAATCTATATAGAATACTAAACTGTAATGCATATGAAATAAAATAATCTGGATTTTCTTGGTGAGAACTCCAATGGAAGAACTACTGCTACAGCATGCTCTGGTAAATGATGCAGAAGAAATGGAATTTATTGATGATGAAGAAGATGCAAGAATGTTAGCAGCCACATTGGTTGCTGGCATTGAGCTTGCTTGACTTGATTGTATCAAAGCACAACCCAGGACAACTTTACCTTTGTCGCACTCAGCTACTCCCTGATCCACATTGCAATACTCTGTGGCAACTATTGTATGAAAGTCAGAATGACTGTGCTTTTATTACAACCATGGGCATCAATGTCCAAACATTTGAATTCATTTTTACTTCTGGCTTTGCCACTCAGTGGTACAAGAAGCCCATCATCCGTCCTGATATCAATTTCCATGGCACTCCACACTTGAATCAGTGTTCACTTAATGCTGGTGGAGCACTTGGCCTCATACTTCACTATCTCAACTCCACCATGCAGGAGACTAGCCTTCAACAGATCTTTGCATTGATTCCTGCCACTGTCTCTTGCTATCTCACTTCTGGACTGCCAATGCTCTTACAAACTCTCCATTCAATGACTGATGCAAGAATTCAATGGCCATGGGGACCTGATTTCAAATGGTGTAGTGTACTCATGATCACACGTCACCCACGACTGCAAGGTGCCTTCAGGAGCATTGATGGGCTCAAATTGCCTGTGCAAACTTCCAAGGATGATGACATCAAAAACACTACCTACAATGGGTGGCTCTCTGAGCACTTCATAAGTTCCATCATGACTTTTTCAACTGAAGGTGTGTTTTCTTCTCTTTTGCAATAGTCTGTACTTAATTCTTTCTTTACAAAGGCATTGTGATCATAGCAAGGACCAATGCACCTGGTAGCTGGCATGATTCTTACCTTGCATCTCACATCTACACTCAACTTCAACTCCACACACCTCCCAACTATTACATCATTGCGGATACTGCCTTCCCTCGAGGGACATCCTCCATTAATGGGCGCATTTGTGCACCTCTTAAACATGGTCAGGTTTTATGCAGCGCAGTTGCTGAGATGGCAGAACAAATGGCATTTAACCATGAAACTACTTTCATACCGTCAAACAGCAGAATGGGGTATGTGCACTATCCAAGGAGCCTTTGGAAGGCTACATCTACCACTCAACATTGCTAATGAAGAAGCTCGCAGCAACCTCATCAAAATATGTCTTTGCCTGCACAATCTCCATGCCATATGTGTCGGAATCAACCAGATATGGACTGTGTACATGAACCTTTGGCAGGCTACAGAGAATGATATGGATGTGTGGCGAGATTTTGAGAATATGTTATTTTCAGACCAGAGGAAGAAGGATCAAGTTTCACGCTTTCATGTCACATTGGAATACCAGTAGATACATATGAGATGTCTAGTACTGCTGCATGTTGCCTGTCTTGTATAGAGGATATCAAAGTTATCTAGTACTGTTACATGTTGCCCATCTCGTATAGAGGATAGAAAAGTGATCTAGTACTGCTGCATGTTATCCATCTCACATGAGATGGACAAGGACAGACAAGAGGATGGACAAGAGGATGGACAAGAGGACAGTCAATTTTTCAAATGGTACATTGGTACCCTAAACACACTACAAAACTATCTAAATAGTGTTGTACAATCAAATCTCTTGTGACACTTCCCTTTGAAGGGACTTGGAAGGTTCATCAGCCAAGTCCTCAAAGTGCAGGCAATCAGAATACTTGCTGATGTCCAGATGGCCCCCATCTTTGAAAGCAAGGTGGCTTGGACACCTCAGACACAGTACTTTCACCCTCATCAGTAATCCACCTAACAGATCCCCCACCCTCAGGGTACCATTCCTGATGCAAGTTCTTGCATCTGGGCATCTGGATATGCCGATGGTGTGTGGATCCGCTCATCTCCATTATCTCAATGTGAAGCTGGGCCTGATCATGTTCACGTTTGACATCATACAAGTGAGTGTGCAAACCAAAGAGTTGGCCCTGCAAGTTTTCCACACTGGCTTGTGAGTCACACAGCTGCTGGCTCTGGGTAAGTAGTTGCACAGTAGCCAGGCTGCGATTGGCATGTTCTTCATCATGGTTGCACTGGGCAGCTGGGTCAAAAGCTCCAGAAAGGTGAGTGAGGAGATCTGTAGCTGCAGCTCCTCGAGCATTGCAATGCGGAACAGGGGCATCTGTGTGAGCAGTGAAGCATGCAACAGCAGTGTGCTGAACTGGGGGAAGGTATGGTATGGCTCATCCTGAATGTTGATCTCATTGGAGACAACAGAGTGATTGTCATCATCTTCAATGGTATCAAAATCCATATCATCCAGGTCACAGGTTCCCGCACACTCGTTGATAAGTTGATCAATGCGAAGTGCACATGTGACATCTGGAGGGCAGACACCATCTCCTGTGGGCTTCATAGTCTTTACAAGCTGTAGTTCAATGTGTGAGCCATCTTGCAGCCATATGACAATTCGAACCTTACCTGCTTGAACTTCATCTCGAGTGAAGTGACTTTGTGCTCAGGATGGCCATTTGCTTTCACCCATTGGCAAAACTTGACATGGACAGCCTGCCACCCACATTGACCAAGGGGGGGCTCCTGACAGACCATGTCAAGAAGAATAGTCACATCTGAAATCATATAGTTGTTAGATCCTTGAGGGCAGCCTTGCTGCACATGTGCCTCATCATCTTCATCAGCGTACTCTCGGGAATGCTTTTTTGAGTTAGCAGATGTCAAATTTTCCTTGGTTTTACCTTTGCCCCTCAGGCCTTTGACCTGGTGATGCAAGCCTGCTGCTTTGACCACTGGAGTGTGGCCTTGAGCCTCTGCAATAGTTACAGTGTCAGTCAAGTCAAGATCACCAGATTCAGGTAGGGGAAGGAATGCAGGATCGATCATACTGTTCATCAGCATCTGGTGCAGAGGAGTATGATAACTGGACAGTAAGAGTGGTGTGTCTTCCTTGGATTGGAACATGGCTGGAGTTCTGAGTGTGTAGGTGCCAAGCTGTACATAACACAATTAGTTAAGCGAATGATATCATAGTATGGTGCTGTCAACATACCTCACAGCTAAGACTCAGTTGGGGCTCCCCATGTTTGATGCAAAAAGACTGTTGAGATGTAGTAATAGCCTATAATAATATGAGCATCTGAAACTGTAGAGGTGAAAAATGAAACTCACCTTGCAAATTCCTGGGTGAGGAACCCAAGCACCAGCTGCATTGCATGTATAGGCATTGCCAGCATCATTGTAGTGTAATTCTGGGTAGGCTGGGCTACTACCAGGTGGTATCATAGATTGTAGAGGGGCAATGTCAGACATTGTGTGATTGTAGTAGTGTTTAAATCAAGAAAAAGCTTACCTTGTTGTCCTCGAGCTTTTATATGTCTCCCAAATTGCCGCCATCAGACATGCAAGTGATTGTTGAAGTTCATAGATAGCAGAAAAGACCCTGTGGTTGCAGTCATACGTTAGTAGACATATATGAATCAATGAATTTAACAAGAAAAAAACTTCACTGAAGCTTGAAGGATGGACAGTGCTTGTTACTGGACAGATACAGGCAGATTGGGGTCGGCATTGCTCAACTTCAGTCACAGTGATATGTGACTGCACAGTTCTGCTGTAACCAATCTTAAAACTTCAGTACAGTAATACAGCGGCATTTGCGTTTGCAAATTTCATGCACTCACCTGCAACACAACAACGCAACATTTCGAAAATCGCCTTGGGCGATGAACTTAATTATACATAAACTTCGTAGTTACAAATTTTGAAGCACATCAGATAAGTTGTTGTTGCACGATGAATGTTCACTAAATTTGAGCCCTTATCACCTGCACACCGTCATTTGCATCGACTCGAAAATGGTAAATGAACTTCTGCAATCAGTTCGCATTACGAAATTACTAATCGATGACAGACCCTCAATGCCTAACAGTTGTCCTTGCCATCTTCACCATCATCAGACTCAGATTCCTCAGCTGCCTCCTCATCAATGTGAACAATTGTCGGCTTTGGTAATGGTGCTTCAAGTTTGCCAAGTTTTGGTTTTATCCACATCAGACACCATTTCTCCACCTTGGCTTTCGCCCGCTCTGCTTCCCACTGAGTCAACTCTTCCTTGTATGCTTTCCTGCATGCCTTGTTTCTTTCCAATCATGACTGTGTATGCTTGGCCATGATGAGATGTGAGTGAAGTTGATTGAAAGGTATTCTTATTCATTGTGCCAGTCAACAGACTTGCAAGTCCGAGTCGCACGAAGTGTGTGATTACATATTGAAGCACAACCTTAGCAATGATTGACAATCGCGAAGTCTATCACTCGCTTATCAGTTGATTAGAGACTCTCGAGACATCCTCGACTGGCATTGCTCTGGCAATGCATTCGCTTGTTTGATCACCTGCAGAATACAATTGTATTGTATATAGAGGCTATATACATGTATTGCATCAGTTTCGGAGTCAGATGTCAACATGTCACACATTGGGACCTATAATTATGAAAATTTAAGAACAAAACATAACATCGCACAAGAATCTACACTCATTTGTACCTATTAATGCTGCCAACACATGGTCCCATATGAAACCTATGTAAACCACCAAAAAGTTTGATGAAAAAGTGTCACAGTGGAGTGTTGTGCAAGACAAACGCAAATGCCGCTATATTACTGTAGTATTTTCACCAGCCAGTGTAGGTATTGGACCACAGTTAAAATCCATATATTCAAAGACATTATGATGAAGCCATGACTGTCGCTAAGCTGAAGATGAGCGAGGCGGCAACCTGAGTTGTGGATTAGTCAGGATTAGTCAGCGGATAGCTGAGGCGTTAGTGGCCTAAAACAGATATAATCCGACTGATTAATCTGTAAGGGGGGGGGGGGGGCCTTACAGATTTAGAGTTTATAAGAGGGTCAAGAAAATAATGTTTTGCAAATTCATCCCAAATGAACAGCGGCATCGCGGCACGACTTCCTTAAATGGGTTTTTTTATTCTATTATATTCTATTCCGCATTATTTGAGCCTACGGATAGTCACCCAGTGGTACGGCACAACTCAGTACTCAGTCTTCAGCGCAGCACCGCAGCAACCTGGCCATGTGTCTGTTTGTTCCTGGTCCAGGTCAGGTACCTGTGTTCTCCCCTAACAAGTTGAAGATCCAAATTCCAAATTCCACCAACAGCCGCGAATCAGAAAGAAGGGCACATGAGGGCCTGGCAGCGGCGGGGGGTTGGCCTGTTTGGTATCTGACCCCTCTCAACACGGCCTGGAAAGTTCCAAGAAGCAACGTTTGGGATCCACCACAAGGATATATCAATCTGGATCATGGACAACTTCTTAACTAGATAATGTATCCTAGTTTTAGGCCTATAGTCCACTTTGAATGTATCAATCTAACAGTATAGCCTCGGTGGTGGCGAAATTGAAGGGGTGGGATATCCCAAGGACATGAAAGCCAGGCACCATGACTCCCGAACAGTGGGTGTAACTTGACTCTCTAATGCGATCTTTATCGAGCCTTGACTTAAGTACTTCACTGCTATCAAGTATATTATTTCCCTCCATCAACTCCAGACACCTCACAAATGCTTGTTCCGCCAGCATCTAACCCCCTTCTTCATTTCCTCCCATCTTCCCTGCTTAACGCTACCGCCATGGAAAGTGTGCAAGGGCAGAGCGCATCGTCTCCCGTACCCTCCTTCATATTCATGTTCTTACCTGCGCGTCGCCGCTATCTATCCTCTGCCATGCTCTCATCACCACTTCCCTCGCTGTCAAGTGCATATCACAGGAGCGCTCAGGAAAGAACACTGTGAAACTTGCCACACTTACAGAAACATCAAGGTGGTTGTTCGTGCTGTATTGGCTGCCAGCAAAACGAGTGGGAAGATGACGGTGGAGCGTTTAGCACGAGAGATTATTGCTGTTGTTAATGGGGACAAGGAAGTTATTACTGAGAGACGTCACACGTCTAAAGAGACAAGGACTTCGTAAGTCCCCAGTCAAGTATGAACAGACTGGGGAAGAAGGGGAAAACGAGACGAGTGAATGTACCTGGAGCGGAGTTACCATATTTAGTAAGTACATTGAAGGTAGTGAACGTGACACCAAACAAAAAGAAATATCTATACTACTATGTTGACGGATTGATTTCCAACACACCCCCTCAATCTGGCAACAGACCTATCTCATCAATCATTTTCTGGAATGCGAGACGTGCGAGTGGTTTCGTGAGGCCGTCGGCGAGCATTTCGGCTGATGGGATATGTATGAGCTCGAGAGTACCATCTTCAATGCGTTTGCGGACGAAATGGTAATGAACGTCAATGTGCTTCGTGCGTGCGTGGAAACACACTTCCTTCGCAAGGCTAATGCATCCAGTGTTATCGACGAATATCTCTGTGCCAGGATCTTTGTCATACATTCTGATATCACACAACAGATATCCCAGCCATATTGCCTGTTTGGATGCATGTGAGAGGGCCATGTACTCTCCCTCGGTTGACGAGGCTGCAACAGTGGTTTGTTTCTTGCTATTCCATGATATGACGCGATCACCAAGGGTGAAGATGTATCCTGAAATTGACCGGCGGTCGTCAATATCTCATGCCCAGTCTGAGTCACTGTATCCGGTGAGGACATCTGCATTCTCGCTGTTCTCCCCAAGCATGAGGCAGAAGCTGTGTGTGCCTGCAAGGTAACGTAAAACGCGCAGTGCGGCTCTCCAATGTGCCTGCCCTGGATTTGCACTGAATTGTCCGAGGTGGCTGCTGGCGAATGCGAGATCTGGGTGCGAGACCATTGCAATCCAAGTGATTGCTCCGATGAGTTCACGGTATGGTAGCTTCTTCATCTCCGCAGCTTCTTCATCTGTTTTAGGGCCATCTGCCCTCGATAGGACGGTATTTGGATCAACTGGCGTCTGTACGGGGTTGCATCCGTCCATTCTAAAATGTTTGAGGATCGTGTTGATGTACTGGGCTTGTGAGATAGCGACGGAGTGATTCTTGCGATTGTCGGTGAGCGTGAATCCCATGAGCCAATCTGGGTCTTCTTCCTTCATCTCAAACAGTTTGTGTAGCTCGGCACGAGTCTCCGCGAGTGTCTCGATACTGCTAGAGACAGTAATGGCATTGTCCACGTGCCATGCTATGATTGACGTGCCTGTCTTCATATGGCGGGTATACACTGCATGGTCAGAGGCACAGCGGACGAAGTTGCGGGAGATTAGTGCCTGGTGCATATGTTTGTTCCACAGGTGCGAGCCTTGTTTGATCCCATAGAGGCTAAGTAAGAGTTTCGCGACTCTGTCGGTGCCATCGCTGAAACCTTCGGGTTGTCGCATATAGATTTCGTGGTCAATCTTACTGTGGAGGAATGCCCTGGTGACGTCGTCTTGTCCTCGGTACCAGCCATGTGAAGCTGCAAAGTGCAGTATCATGTGAAGTGAGTCAAGTCGGACAGTTGGCGAGAATGTGTCACTATAGTCAACACCTGGGATCTGTGAATATCCTTGTGTGACAAGCCGTGCCTTGTACCGTGTGATTTTGCCATCTGGGCCAAGCTTGAGGGTATATGTCCATCGGCACCCTATGACTTTTCGATCCTTCGGCTTCTCAACTAGCTCCCATGTACCTCTTCTCTGCAACATCTCGATCTCCTCATGCATTGCCTTCCACCATTGGTCTGCCTTGGTGCAGGTAGAAGCTGCCCAAAAGTGTTCTGGGGTTTGTTGGCCATAGGCTGCGAGATAAGCGAGCTGGGCAACCTCGCCGACAGTGGTATTTTCAACCAGTGGTGTGTCGGTGTCATTTTTACATTGCCTTTGGGCTCGAGTTTCTCGTCTTGCCTTCTGATCATTCTTTTCCCTCTCAGACTTGGCTTTCTGGGTGTCCACTGCTTGTTTCTTCCACGATGGTCGTGTGACACGCTCTGAATGTCGAGGTTGAGCTGGTGGAGTAGCTGGTGTAGGCATTGGGGGTTCTTTGACGAGCATTGGGGGTTCTTTGGCGAGTGTTGGGGGTTCTTTGACGAGTGTTGGTGTCTCATTCGTGGTTGGATTGGCATCTCCATCCATCACCCCCTCGGTCCAAGTAGGGGAGTCAACAATGGTAGTCAATTTTGGCACCCCCTCACTCGGAGTGGAGATATTAGGAGTAGGGACAGGTTCATCGTTGAGTTGGCTGAAGATTTTCTCATAGACTATGACATCACGAGACGAGATGAATTTGTGTTTAGAGGGAATCCAGACCTTGTAAGCTTTAGAGCCTCGTTCAAAACCACAGAGGATACCGTCAATGGAATGAGCCTCGAGCTTCTTCTGAAACTTGGGAGAGACTCGGACATGACAGCAAGAGCCAAAAATGCGGAGGGTAGATACATCTGGTTTACGACCATGGAAAACTTCATTGGGGGTAATTTTTGAGAGTGCTTTGGTTGGGCTTCAGTTCTGGACATAGCTTGCATACTCATGTGCTTCGGGCCAGAAGCATTTTGACATGCTGGCATCTTCGAGCATTGCAAGAGCATGTTCATGTGTGGTTCAGTTGAAGCGCTCTGCAACTCCGTTTTGCTGAGGTGTACGAGGGGCTGAAAATTCGTGTGTGATGCCCTTCTGCTCAAAATAACTTCCCAGTGTCGAGTTGATGAATTCACCCCCATGGTCAGAGCGTACTATCTTGACATGATGTTCAGTGTATGTTTCGAGTCGTTTGATGAGTGCCTTGATGAAGGCTGGGGCTTGGTCCTTCGACTTCAAGTATTCTTTCCACCCTTTTCAACTATGGTCATCGACAATGGCAAGGGTGTAGAGATAGCCTTGAATGGATTTGTCGAATGGACCTTGGAGATCCATATGGATGCGATCAAGAGTTTTCTTTGCTCGAGTTGCAGTAGATGGGAAGGGGGCCTGGGGGTGTTTCCCTTTCGCACATCCGTTGCATGGTGGGAGGTCACCATTGCCTCGGAGGTCCATACCTGTCACGAGGTTATGTCGGGTGAGGTAGCGGAGGTTATCAAGGCTGATATGGGCAAAGCGAGCATGCCATAATTCGAGGTTGGGTGCTGAACAGGTAGAGAGGGCAATATTGTGTCTCGCAGTGGGTGGTGCAATGACACTATGGATTTCATATAGGTTGTTGGTTAGTCTTCCCTCCATCACAATCTCACCATTGGGTTTCTTAATGGTGAGTCGCCCATTTCACTTCGTGATCTCCATCCCTTTTCGGTCCATATGGCTTTCTGACATCAGGTTGTCATGGGCATTGGGACAGTATCGGACATTCATCAATTTGACGATATGGTCAGGACATCCCTTCACAGAGACATTAACTAGTACTGATCCATGTCCAAGGATTTGGAGTACAGGTCTGTCTTTCACGATCCCTTGGATATGCTCCTCTGATGGGGTGAAGGTAGCAAAGGCTGTTCGTTCGGTGCATATGTGAGTGGTTGATCCCCCATTGAGGATCCAGCCAAAATGGGAGCGAGAGGGAGGACTGGTGATATAGGATGAGTGTTCAGTGTCTGAGGAATCTTCGTCGGTGTCGCTGACATCATCTTTGTCCACAACAGCTTGGTTGGCTTTCTTGCCTGACTTCGACCTGTATTTCCCCTTGTGGGATTTGTCATCCTTCTCGTCCCCCTTATTACTATCTCTCTTCAACTTCTGCTTGTCACGATGGGGTCCCTGACCTTGCTTTGCACCACCTTTTGAGTAGCATTCTTTGGTCCAATGACCAGAGATATTGCAGTTCTTGCAGAAAGGTTGGCCTGGTATGGGTGTACGGCTGAGTTTGCTTCGGCCTTTGTTTCCACGTGAGGCTTGGTACGTGGTACTGGATGCGCCTGATTGGCTTGTACGGACACCGAACTCGTCCCTGATTCACCATTCAACTTCGACAGATTTGTAATGGTCAGGGAGAGCTGCAAACACATAGTTCCAAGCTGCCAGCATGGATATACATAGGAAACACGCAAATAACTCATCATCGATGTCCCGTCACATTAGGATGAGATCGTGGCGATAGCCCTTCATCTTTGCTATATGGGCATTGATGTCTTCCCCGTCATTATATTTGGTGGTGACAAGAGAAGCCATGACGAGTGTCCAATCTGTCGCTGTGGTACCCGAGTATAGCCGTTTTGTATCTGTCCAGATTTCGGAGGCATGCTGAAGGTGTGCTAATTGGGCCATAACTTCCTCTGTCATGCATGAGGTGAGGACTGAGCAGACGAACATGTTCACTTTGCTCCAACGGACAGGGTGGTGTCTTTCATTGAGTAAGCTGTGTAGTGGCTGCGTGAAGTCTGGGTCTACATAAACATGTAGCCCAATGGTCTCAAGTGCACAGTATACAGTGCTTGTCCAGGTTGAGTAGTTGGTAGATGTGAGCTTGGGACGTAGACGAAGGAGATGGGTGAATTTTGATGGGTCAATGGACTTCTTCAGTGTGAAGTGAGTCTCATCTTCGTCAGATGTGTTTTCGTCAATGATGTTTGGACGGTGAGGTGTGGCAGATCGCGAACGCGAGGGCGAACGTGAGTTGTTCATAGTTGGGATTCCAAGGTTTGCGGGTGAATGTGTTGGTTGGTCAAATGTAGCGGGTCCGAGCATTCCAACACGCCCTCGAAGGTCTTCAGTCATGGTTCAAAACACGTGTTATATTGATCTTGGTGATATGCAATGGGTATGGTATATTTCAGGAGTTCATGATGTGCGAGAGTGTCCGATGGGTCTCGGTAGCGATATCAGTGCCTGCGTCAAGCAGGGCTCATAACCTGAGAGACGTCACACGTCTAAAGAGACAAGGACTTTGTAAGTCCCCAGTCAAGTATGAACAGACTCATATAGTATGTACCTAAAGAGACAAGGACTTCGTAAGTCCTGTACTACGTCAGTAAGGAATGTGAGTATCATATAGTGAGACTTACCCCAGTCGAGTATGAACAGACTGGGGAAGAAGGGGAAAACGAGACGAGCGAATGTACCTGGAGCGGAGTTACCGTATTTAGTAAGTACGTTGAAGGTAGTGAACGTGACACCAAACAAAAAGAAATATCTATACTACTATGTTGACGGATTGATTTCCAACAATTACTAACAAGGAGCTGGCACACAAATAAGCTATGGTTGATAGGTATGTGCAAATTGACTCTCATTGACGCATCGCGCAGGAGTAATATTGTACTCATGAAGTGAGGATCTCGTACGTTTACTGTATTTTTCCTCTTGTAATGCTAGACTGCCGAATCCAATGCAGTATAATCGCTCCCCAGGTTCTTTAATGCGATGCAGCAAATAATACACCATTTTCAGCACTTCTGAACTGGTACCAGCCCGAAGCGCTCTCCGATCTGGTCCCTAAAAGTACCTTGTTGGTAATCTTCATGCTATTAGCAAAACTATGGAGCTCTTCGTACACTTGCTGGTGAACAGAGGCTCCACGATGGTTCGGGGTTCGTTAAACGATTCATGCCGCTACAAGTCAACGCAGCTTTCACAGGGTCCTCACCACTCAACTCTTGTCTGCTTCTCCATCGAATGTCGCATCCAAAACCAGGTTATGACTAGGTGTAATGCTCCGACCCATTAGAGGAACCCTGTTGCATGACCTCTTTTCCATCAAGGAATCAGATGCACCAGAAGCTATGGTCATAAGATTTAATCTGCGTGCCCATCGTATCAAAACCCATTCGCCGTATGGATTTCTATTTTACATCACAATCGCTCTTTACTGCACATGTTCCACACATGCACTTTTCGTTCTCCGTTTCAACAGGTTTCTCTTATTCTGGCATACCCAGAACGAACTCTTCTCGATCTCTCAATTCGAATACTGAGGTGCGTATTAACATTTAGCGACACATTTTCATTCTAACTACCTGCATAGTTCTCTTTTCATTCATAGGTATGTACTGCCGTAGTACGAGTCTCTCAATCCGAAGACTGAGTTCTCCTTTCTTTCTAGTCCGAGCCTCTCTCATTTGAGACTGGTCTTCCTGTGTCTGCCTCCCATGGCAGCTTCTTCCAAACTGACAGATGAAATTTCGCATTCATATGACGCACTCCCGAACGGCCAGGACTTTGACTCGATGATATCTGATACGAAGTTCACTGCTGATACTAGAACCGATTTCTACGACCGCAGTTTGACGAGTCGCAGATATGCCTTCGTCGGAGTGGCATGCTCAAGTATCTTCAGTTGCTCATGCATCGTTGCAGGTGTTATCATTTTAGCTAATCGCGGAGTCTCGGGAGAAACCAATGTGGTCATGACGAACACGAATATGGATGCACTTCTGGGTCAGGTGCCCCTGCAGGAGAAGTTATTGATCCTGACGCTCAACTTAATCATCACATTTTGCACCGAGTCCCTGGGCTTCGTACACGGAATCTCATTGCGCTCTGCGCTAGCCTCTGAGTCTCGGCTTTATTTCAACACCAATCTGCGCCTTCTGACCGCAGCTTGTGGATGGTATAACCCTAACGGCACCCTTCTTAATGGCATCTCGGCTGTCCTCCTCATAATATCCTACAGCTCAAGCTCACTCTTCACGGGAACCTACTATGAAATGATAACGCCAGGAAAATTTAATGAGGGCATTTTCTTCACTGGGTTACCCCTCCTCATTTTGGGCATCGCACTCCTCCTCCAGGTGATAATTGCATTGTCAGCGATGCATGCTGTCAAAATATTGACGTGGAGCTCCTCACCTTTCGACTTGACCGCCGCATTGGTCCATAACACGCAATTGACCCCTGCTACTCTGCGGTGCATGCATTGTGTATCTGACCTAGACACGTATGGAGGTCCAGCGAAGCCATCAGAGATACAGCCCTCTGTGTGGCATGCTCACCCTAGCATCCGGAAAGTTGTCATTTTTCTTTGGGTGATCGTTGCAGCATGCACTGGATGGGCCGCACTTGTCACATATATCTCGCACAAGAATCCTTCTGCCATCCCGATGACAATAGAAACGTGGTCGTTCTTGCCCAACGAGTCGTCCAGTTTCATCCGGTATGCTATACCAGGTGCCAATCTTGAGGTGTGGATTCTGCTCTTCGTCAACATAGCAGTTATTCAGGGACCGTTGACGCTTGGGCTGCATTGCTCAGAGCTCATCGCGAATGTCATTCGAGACGAAAGGCAGTGGAGATGCGCTACCGGAAGGAAAGGACTTCAAGTGGCGACGAACCCAGTGACGACAATTTTCACTTATCCGATCTGTCTTGCGCTTTTCGTCGCGAAACCTTTTCTGCGTGAGTCATTCCCGTCTAGTATTTTTCATCGGTGTTATTGAACACCATCCTCGACGATTACAGACTGGATGTTTGGGCTTTCACTCCAAATATATAATGATGCTGTTGATGGGAAAATAGATATGGATACGTCGGTGGTAGCCATGTTCACTCCCCAGGTTCGTGCTTACTGCCTATGTAAAGCTGCTACGACATCCTCATCCTTGTGCAGATCTGGAACTTATGCATAGCGTTGTGTATATTTGCTTGTTTCTTCACTTTCGTCGCACTGCGCCGACCGCACGGTCTCCAGCCCGCTGCATACGGCCACCTCCAGACGCTCGCCAACCTCGTGGATGAGTGGTCGCCTGTGATGTGGTGGGGACACAAAGAGGACAGAATTCCGTACTGTCATGCTGGTTCCGGTGCTGGGTCTCTGGTACCCCTCTCATGAGAAGTACTTGTTTTTCTTTTTTCAAAGGGTTCAATGATACGCGTACAATTTTTATGCTGCTTGCTGCGCTGTAGGTAGTGACATTACTCCAGCTCGGACTTTATAACACCACGATGGATGATTGGACAAATCTATATGAGCTGTAGAGGATGGAATATGAATCAGAAGTGTACAGGTGGGGCTGTGAATGCCAGTGAAATTGGCGGACATTAAAGAGTCAGGGTCTTGGTAGGATCGTATCACATCGTACGTACTACTTGCTGTAGTAGGCATGTAGTAGGTCTGTATGTAGTGACCGACGAACAAATCATTATCAACAGTGTATCTGAGATCTGAACGTACATCATGATTGATAACAACTGCATAGGAAAGGGTCTTGACCTGAAGTGGATGACCATGACATACCCTGAACTTAGGCATCCATGAAAACGAGACTGCGAATTGTCTGAAACAGTCATGATCTCCTCAAAATCTCCTACAAATATTGAGATTCAAAGTTAATATCCATTGTTCTGCTGTTTCAGAGTGCGCTTATCGAGTCCACTACCGTAATACACAATACCAATTCTCTTCGCAACGGGAACAGATCGGATACGAAGAAGTCATTGTCAAATGGCAATCTGAATATCAAACTGTGCCATATGTTGACGTCAGCAAGCTCAAGAACATCACCATTGATCCATAACCTTGTTTGAGCCAAACCTCAGCATCAAATGCTCTGCTTGCGAAAGATACCGAACACTAACGACGGATATGAAACACCGTTGACTATCAGTTGAGCAGGCAAGTTGATACAAGGCAGTCGGGGGTTGCAGATCACGTAAAGGGCAAAATCATTCGATGTACACCAGTGGGTGAGGGAAATTGCCATAGTGGGAGAATATGGCACGTCTTTGTGTAATCCGTAAACCTGCGTCAATGTGGCCTGAGTATCGTAGTTTGAATGCGTGACTGGCAAGACTTACCATTAAATCCTGTACTGCTCTGCCACAACTCATTATCTCCGACGACAAAGGCAACTTCAATGTTTGCAGGGCAGGTATGAAGATGACAAAAGTCGTGTCATGGAGATGCAGGATTAATGTTGAAACGACAACCAGATTTTGTGGAAAAAAAATGTCGGAGGCGGGATGCAAGCAACAAGAGTGAAGAAACAGGTGCTGCCCAGGTCGGTGTGTAAACCAAGGCTGAAATCTGGGATGGTGCGTGAATAAGTTAGCTGGTGGATATGATATGGCATTGGCTGTTCAGTGATGATTGCAACATAGGTCGAGCTATAGAGTCTGGGGTCACTTCATTGTGAGTTCTGTAAGGGTGTTCTCCGGGACTTTGTTTGCTCAGAGTTTGAAGTTGATGAGTTACTAACGCCATGGAATATGGGCGTAGAATAAAGCTGAAAGTACTAAGAAGCCAGCATATGCATCAAATCGATCATGCTTGCTCTCGGAAGGGCACATATATGGCAATTGGATCTAACCCTAGAACAGGATTTTGATTCACCTCAGAACAATATCACACAACCACTGCTTAGCACCGCTCCTGCATCACTCTCTACCAGTGATAAGCTTACGCTTAGCCTGTTTTAATGCAATATAACGACCCTATACCCTGATAAATACCGCGTCACATGGCCGTTTTTCCATCATGAGGTCGCACCATGCACCAGGGGCTGTGGTCGTAAGTGAAATATATTTAATCTGGGTGTCCATAATATGCACTGTTCATCCCCAACAGGTTTCTCTTATTCCAGCATCCCCAGAACGATCTCTCCTCAGTCTCTTGATCCGAATACTGAGGTGAGTATTAGCATTTACCGATACTGATTTTCATTCTCACTACCTACATAGTTCTCCTTTCGTTTCTAGGTATGCATAACCATAGTACGAGTCTCTCAATTCGAAGACTGAGCCATCCTTTCATTTCTAGTCCGATCCTCTCTTCATTTGAGACTAGCCTTCCTATTTCTGCCTCCCATGGCAGCTTCTTCCAAACCGGCAGATGAAAGTTCGCATCCACTGTATGACACACTCCTGAATGACCAGGACTTTGACTGGATAGTATCTGATGCGAGGCTCACTGCCGATACTAGAACCAATTTCTATGATCGCAGCCTGACGAGTCGTAGATATGCCCTTGTCGGAGTGGCATGCTCAAGCATCTTCAGCTGCATATGTATTGTTGCAGGCATTGTCATTTTAGCCAATCATGGAGTCTCAGGAGTAGCCGTGACCAAGCTGGTTGATTATGAGCTGGGTACTCGGTTTCCCCAGGGGGAAATATTGGCCTTGACACTTAACTTCATCATCATGTTATGCACCGAGTCCATAGGCTTTGCACACGGCATCTCACTGCGCTCTGCGCTAGCCTCAGAGTCTCGGCTTCGTTTCAACACCAATCTGCGCCTTCTGACTGCGGCTCGTGGATGGTATAACCCTAACGGCGCCCTGCTTAACGGCGTCTCAGCTGTCCTCCTCATTATATCCTACAGCTCGGCCTCACTCGTCGTATCTCTCGATGTACAATCCACGTCACCAATACCACCACTACAAGTTTTTGGGGCGGGTACTGCCTTTTCAGGGATACCTCTCCTCATTTTGGGCATCGCACTCCTCCTCCAAGTGGTGATCGCATTGTCAGGGATACAGGCTGTAAAAATATTGACGTGGAGCTCCTCACCTTTTGATTTGACTGCTGCACTGGTTCACCACACGCAATTGACCCCTGCTACTTTGCGGTGCATGCGTTGTGTGTCTGACCTAGACACAGATGGGGGTCCGGCGAAGCCATTAGAGATACAGCCTTCTGCGTGGCATGCTCACCCTAGCATCCGGAAAGTTGTCATTTTTATTTGGGTGATCGTTGCAGCATGCACTGGATGGGCCGCACTTGTTACATATATCTCGCACAAGGAACCTTATGTCGTCCCGATGACCACAAAAACGTGGTCGTTCTTGCTCAATGACTCGTCCAGTTTCATCCAGTATGATATGCTAGGTGTCAATCTCGAAATATGGATTCTGCTCTTTGTCAGCATAGCAGTCGTTCAGGGACCGTTGACACTTGGCCTGCATTGCTCGGAGCTCATCGCAAATGTCATTCGAGATGAAAGGCAGTGGAGATGCGCTACCAGAAAGAAGGGACTTAGAGTAGCGACGAACCCAGTGAAGACGATTTTCACTCACCCGATTTGTCTCGTACTTTTCGTCGCGAAGCCTTTCCTGCGTGAGTCATTCCCATCTAGTATCTTTTATAGGTGTTATTGAGTACAATCCTCGACAATCACAGATTGGATGTTTGGGCTCTCATTTGTCCCATCCTACTACGCACTTGACGGGGAAATAGAAGGGCCTGAGGTACTCATGTACACTGCCCAGGTTCGCACTTTACGCGTATGTAAAACTGCTACGACGTCCTCACACCCTCATGCAGATCTGGAACTTATGTATTGCACTGTTTATATTTGTCTGTTTCTTCACTTTTGTCGCACTGCGCCGACCGCGTGGCCCCCAACCGGCTGCATACGGCCATCTCCAGACACTCGCCAACCTCGTGGACGAGTGGTCGCCTGTGATGTGGTGGGGACACAAGAAGGACGAAATTCCGTACTGTCATGCTGGTAGGGTACTTTTATGCTCACGATGATGCTGCATTGACATTTTACAAAGGGACAAGTGATCACCCGCTACCGGATGTGAAGATGGACTGCATTTATGCTGGTTCCGGTGCTGGGTCTCTAGTACCCCTCTCGTGAGAGGTACTTGCTTTGCTTTTTAAGGACATTTTTTTCAATTTCTCTTTGTAAATAGAGGAGCTATATTCACATCAGGCTGGTGATGCATTGACGGGCACACAACCAGCCATGCCATCGAATGATACGTGTACAATTTTTATGGTGCTTGCCGCATTGTAGGTAGTTCGTCTTAATATTGCTGTAGCCTGGACTTTAATGGATGAATGGACAAATCTATACGAGCTGTGGAGGATGTGTTGAGTTGGAATATGAATAGGAAGTGCACAGGTGAGCTGTGATTATGAGTGAAATTGGCCGACATTAAAGAATCAGAGTCTCGGTGGGATCGTATCGCATATAGTACATACTACATGCTGTGGTAGGACCTGTGGTCAGTCTATATGTAGTGACCAACCAACAAATCACCACCAACTATGTATCTGAGTTCTGAGTGCGTATTAATATTAACTGCGGTCTTGACCTGAAGCAGAGGACCATGTCATACCCTCAATTCAAACATCCATAAAAACGAGACTGCGAATTGTCTGAAACAGTCATGATATCCTCAAATCTCGTACAAATATTGAGATTCAAAGTCAACATTCATCGATGCATCGTTCTGCTGTCTCAGAGTGCGCTAGTCGATTACAACAACTTGCCATTACCATAACACGCATAACACCAATTCTCTTCACAACGGGAACAGATCTGGTACGAAGTCATTGCCAAACGGCGGTCTGAAGACCAAGTTGTGCCATATGCACTCTACATGTGTTATCGAACAAGTGAAAATTAAGGTAAGGATTGATGTCAGCAAGCTCGAGAACATCACCATCGGCCCACAAGACATCTACCTCGTGTGATCCAATTCTTTGCCTCGAATAACCTGCTTGCAAAAAATCTTGAACACCAACGACGGATGCAAAACCCCGTTAGTGACGAGTTAAACAGGCAAGTCAATACAAATCGGTCGCAGGTTGCAGATCACGTAGAGGGTAAATCATTCGACGTGCACTGGCAGGCGAGGGAATTTGCCATAGTGGGAAGGTAATTTGTGCAAGGCGTAACCCTGCATTGGCCCGAGTATTGCAGTTTGAATGCGTGACTGAAAAGACTTACCATCAAATCCTGTACCACTCCGCCACAACTCATGACCTTTGACGACAAAGGCAACATCAAAGTGTGAGGGGTAACTTCTGACAATCGTGATTGGGAATGGCCAGATGGACTTGAATCCTATTGTGTCGCTGATGTGATTTCATCGAGGGATCCTAGAAGTAGGATGTATTGAAACATGTCATACACACTGATGGAAATCGATGCGGAAAGTACTGGTCGATGTTAATGTTTGCAGAGGCTCCGATATACTGAGGGAGTATAAAGGATACGGAAGCCAGGCACTGGCAGATCGTCGTTCCTATATATGGCAGGAGGTATCGGGCATAGTGAAAATGCTGTGCCACTGTGGCTCCCAAAGTTCAAACGGCGAGCGCACATCTACTGCTAGTCACTGAAACCTCCCAGTGCTTTCAAGTGGGCACCGATTCATTTGGCACGCTCGCAAATATATCATCAAGATTCACACAAGTACTCCTGCAAGTCAGGTCTCCCATATTTTTTTTCGAGTGTCCTTGTTGCTAAACAATCTTTCATATTGCATTGTAGGCTGATTCCTTCGCATACAATGTTATTTTCTTTCTTCCAAACGAGTGACCGCGCATGGTCGTGGGCATCATCTCAAGACGCAGTCAGTACTACCTTTCTTCGCTTTTTCGGTCCTCCATGGTATTTGTTGCCTGCCTCTTTTCTACTGCTGCTGAACGAACACTCAACCAGAGGTCTTCATCAAGCCTCAACTCGAATACTTCACTGCTATAAAATATACTATCTCCCTCCTCCAACTCCAGATGCTTCACAAATGCTCACTCTGCAAGCGTCCGACTCCCATCTTCCCTGCTTAGAAAGTGTGCAAGGGTAGAGCGCATTATCTCCCGTATGCTCCTTTATATTCGCATTCTTACCTGCGCGCTGCCGCTGCATATCCTCTGCCATGCTCTCATCACCGCTTCCCCCGCTGTCAAGTGCATATTACAGAAGCGCTCAGAGAAGAATGTCATGAGACCTGCTACGCTTCCAGAAAACAGCACATGAGAGCAGGTATTCATGCTGTATTAGCTGCCAGCAAAAACAAGAGTAGGAAGACGGTGTAGGCGCGTTTAGTACAAGAGATTGCTGTTGTCAATGCAAAGCCATTACTAACAATGAGCTGGCACACAAATAAGCTATGGTTAATAGGTATGTGCAACTTCGACGTCGGGTAACTCTCATTGACACATTGCGCAGGGGCGATGCGCTCGTGAAGTGAAGATCTTGTACGTTTACTGTATTTTCACCCTTCTTGTTATAGACTGCGGAATCCAATGCAATATAACGGTGTGATTCCTCAGCTTCTTTTATATGATCCAATGAATACTATATCATTTTCAGCACTTCGGACTTGGTACCGGGCAGAAGTGCTCTCTGGTGTGGTTCCTCGAACGCCTTGTTGGCAATCTTGATGCACTTGGCAAAATTGGGGAGCTCTTTACACGTGTATTGGTGAACAGGGGTTCTACGGTGGATCGAGGTTTGTTAAATGATTCATACCGCTAAAAGTCAACACAGCTTTCATAGGGTCCTCACTGCTTACTTCTTGTCTGTTTCTCAATCGAACGTTGCATCCAAACCAAGTTCTGACTAGGTGTAATGCACTGACCCGTTAGACAGCTTTTTCTCTGACAACGAGGGTCGCATCCATTCAGCTTCCCAACATTGGCGACCACTGTCTCAGCAATCACCATTGTATCGTGCAATGTTCATAGAGGAAGGTGAGAGCGACAAGGAGACAAACGTGTTGGGGAACCCTGTACTAGCCCAGATGTGGTCGTCCCATATCAGTTTTTACGCCATCCAAGCAAGGGTTTGACTAATAGGGACAAATCAATCACGCCCGAGATGCATTAATTGATCAACCTGACGTTCTTACCAAGGTGACCATCTTCGAAGTCGCATTGAAGTCGTATTTGCGCAATTTACGTACATGCAGTCAGATATCACTGCTTTCCGATAACTCTAACCTGCAAACTCATTTGACTTCTAATCTTGTGCATCATTGGCCTTACTTGGTCGACAAACAATGGCAGGTCTGTCCATCTTGCAAGGATATATGTGCAATATAAGGAGGTTAGGCTTAACTGGCTTTCAGTGATCACCATCCTGACGTGTGCACTTTCAGTATTGCCGCACTGCAATGCGATGTAAATCAACAGTGTACTGGATACGCATAAATGCCGCGTCGCACAACCGCTTTTCTATCACGAAATCAGATGCTCCAGAAGCTATGGTCATCAGATTAAATCTACGTTCCCATCGTATCAAAACGCATTCGTCATACATACTTTACACAATAACCCTTTGCTACACGTGTTCTGCACATGAACGTTTTGTTCTCCGTTCCAACAGGTTTCTTTTATTCAGACATCCCCGGAATGAAATCTCCTCAGTCTCCCCATCCGAATGCTGAGGTGAGTATTAGCATTTATCAATACATATTTTCATTCTAACTATCTATATAGTTCTCCTTTCATTTCTAGTCTGAGCCTCTCTTCATCTGAGACTAGCCTTCCTGTTTCTGCCTCTCATGGCGACTTCTTCCAAACCGGCAGATGAAAGTTCGCGTCTATATGGCGCACTCCCGAATGACCAGGACTTTGACTCGATGATATCTGATGCAAAGTTCACTGCAGATACTAGAACCGATTTCTACGACCGCAGTTTGACGAGTCGCAGATATGCCCTCGTCGGAGTGGCATGCTCAAGTATCTTCAGTTGCTCATGCATCGTTGCAGGAATTGTCACTTTGATCAATCACGGAGTCTTCGGAGTAACCATGACCAAGATGCACGTAGTGAATACGAGTGTTAATCCGTTGCCCCTGCAAGGGGACATATTGGCCTTGGCACTTAATTTAATTGTCACATCATGCACCGAGTCTACAGGCCTCATACATGGCATCTCATTGCGCTCTGCACTAGCCTCAGAGTCTCGACTTCATTTCAATACCAATCTGCGCCTTCTGACTGCAGCTCGTGGATGGTATAGCCCTAATGGCACCCTGTTTAATGGTATCTCGGCTGTCCTCCTCATTATATCCTATAGCTCGGCCTCACTCGTCGTATGTCTCGACGTTTCCTTCACATATGATGTTCTTGCCATTGCGGGGACTCCTCTCTTCGTTCTGGGCTTCGCACTCCTCCTCCAGGTGATCATCGCATTGTCAGCGATGCGGGCTGTCAAAATATTGACGTGGAGCTCCTCACCTTTCGACTTGACTGCCGCACTGGTCCATCATACGCAATTGACCCCTGCTACTTTGCGGTGCATGCATTGTGTGTCTGACCTAGACACCGATGGAGGTCCAGCGAAGCCTTCAGAAATACAGCCCTCTGCGTGGCATGCTCACCCTAGCATCCGGAAAGTTGTGATTTCTCTCTGGGTGATCGTTGCAGCATGCGCTGGATGGGCCGCACTCGTCACATATATTTCGCACAACCACTCCAAGGATACTTCCATCCCGATGACCACAAAAACATGGTCGTTCTTGCCCAACCAGTCGTCCAGTTACATCTTGTATTTTATGCCGGGTGTCAATCTTGAGGTGTGGATTCTGCTCTTCGTCAACATAGCAGTTATACAGGGACCGTTGACACTTGGGCTACATTGCTCGGAGCTCATCGCGAATGTCATTCGAGACGAGAGACAGTGGAGATGCGCTACCGGAAGGAAAGGACTTAGAACGATGATGAACCCAGTGAAGACAATTTTCACTCGCCCGATTTGTCTCATACTTTTCCTTGCGAAGCCTTTCCTGCGTGAGTTATTCCTATCTAGTATCTTTTATAGGTGTTATTGAACATCACCCTCGACGATCACAGACTGGATGTTTGGGCTTTCATTCCAGATATATAACGATATCTTTGACGGGGCACCACCAAGGTTGTCGGTAAGCATGAACACTCCCCAGGTTCGCACCTATTGCCTATGTAAAACTGCTATAACGTCCTCACACCCTCGTGCAGATCTGGAACTTATGTATAGCGCTGTTTATATTTGCCTCTTTCTTCACTTTCGTCGCACGGGGCCGACCGTGCGGTCCCCAGCCGGCTGCATACGGCCACCTCCAGACGCTCGCCAACCTCGTGGACGAATGGTCGCCTGTGATGTGGTGGGGACACAAGGAGGACGGAATCCCGTATTGTCATGCTGGTAGTGTACTTCTGTGCTCACGATGCTGCTACATTGACATTTTCACAAAGGGACAAGTGATCACCCGCTACCGGATGTGAAGATGGACTGTGTTTATGCTAGTTCTGGTGCTGGGCCTCTTGTACCTTTCTCGTGAGAGGTACTTGCTTTGCTTTTTTAAAAACGGGCATTTGTTTTTTTCTTTTTTAAAACAGAGGAACTATATCCATGTCAGGCTGGCCATGCATTCACGGTGCACACAACCAGCCATGCCGTTGAACGATACACGTTCAATTTTTATGCTGCTTGTTGCATTGTGGGTAGTTCGTCTTGTTCTCATGCCATTCATATCTGGGACAACTTTTGGCGGAGACACGTTAGATTCGACCTTCAAGCAATTGCTGAATCGTTGTGATTCTTTTTTTTCCGATTTTATGTCTATTCAACATGAGACTATTCAGGACTGTCCCAGTACCTTATCTAGTCTTGGAGCATTATGATTTTGGTCGATGATCCATTGTATGGTTGGCTTCCAAAGTTATACTTTAGACTGTCCCGCCTAGTGTCCTGTAAATCTGGTCTGAGGCCAGATTAACCAGGGCTAATTAGCAGAGGCTATCCGGGAGGTCAAATTAACCTATGTAAATTAGCGTAAATTTGCAAGTCTGCTGATTAGCGCTAATTTACTTGTAAATTTGACGAATTTAACTGTTAATTAGGGTAAATGTGGTTCTACGGCCATACATCCCAGGTTTTTGCATCAGGAAGTGCCTCTAACGACGACGACGCAACAATGGACGATGTTGTTAACACCTTGGCATGGGGATTCACGTTTCAGGGTGTTTCGTCCAGGAAGTCCCGGAGATAGGGAGAGCGCAACTCAATATCTGCATTTGCCTCTCCAAGCAAGAAGTATGAGTCGTCAACCTTTTCAAGCTTGCTCGGCAGTCCTCGCTCATCATTCAGCCACTCAACACCAGCATCGGGAAATTTGGGATCACCAGCATCGTTGGGTGGATTAGAGTTGAAGGGTCTCAGTTGAGGTGGACGGCGTCCAGGGAGCGGAAGGTCTTCAAACATATCCATATCTGACGCTGTGCGCTTACGGAAAATGGTTTCGTTCATGTCTCACCATCAAACAAGCAATTTTTTTGGCGGGATTTACATTCTGCATAGTACGAGTGTGATTCACTGATTTGAGGTTGAGGTGCTAGCCAGAAACACATACCTCAGGTTTATAACGATGCCACTGTCGAAGTTTGATATGATCTTGAAGTGTCCCGAGATTTTGATTAGCACAACACGGAGAGTTCAACCATGCGATGGTGGACATGGTGTGTTCGTGTGCAAGTGCTGTCTCCGAGTCAACCATTGGTGACCCTCGGTCAGTGTTTGACGTTGGCTAATGGCTTGCCTCAAAAATCGAGCAATATTGCAACATTCTTATTCCGGCAGATGAACACTTCAAGCAGATCGGCTGATACAGCATATCAAGCAGATTAACCCTAATTAACAGGGCATTTTGGGCCTCCCAGATTAACACAGTAAATTAGCGCTAATTAGCACGGCTAATTAGCACCTGTAAATTAGCATACACCAAATTTACAGGACACTAGTCCCGCCCCGAAGCGAGCACCATAACATAGGATTCAAATGTTCACCAGATGTTTAGTAGAAACATTTGGACTCTAACGAGCATTCTCTAAATGCCTGTGCTCGTTGCTCCGCCACTGAGGTGAAACGGAACCCTCCCGAAAAATGACGTCTCCGACTCAGTATGACATCGCTGGTGTTTCAAGTTCCCCAGTAGGCTAGCCGTTGTGTAATGTATACCATGCTCAGTTCAATCTCCAATTTCTATCCTCGGCAACTAGAGTGTAGTTCCGTCAAGTTCGGGTACCATTGGAAGATCCTTCATTGCAGATGACAATCTACCAATGGCAATATACTAAATGCTACGCAGGCATGTACAGAATTCTAGCCTTTCTCGCGCTTCGTTGATGGCATCCCTTCCGCCCTTCCTGCGCCTCGATGACATCCTTCACACAGACAGCTATACCGCATTTTTGAGGGTGCGATATCGGCGAGACTTTCAAATGCTATTTGCAAGAGATGAAGAAGAAATCACAACGGGAAACGTGGTATACAGGAATCTCTTATTGTAATTAACATTGGAAAATGTCCGAAGGTGAACGGAGCCCTTGTAGCTCCTATGTTTAAAAAGAGATATCAAGAAATGCCCTTAAAAAAAAGCAAAGCAAGTACCTCTCACGAAAGGGGTATCAGAGACCCAGTATCGCAGCCAGCATAAACGCAGTCCATCTTCACATCCGGCAGCGGGTGATCGCTCGTCCCTTTGTAAAAATGACAACGTAGCATCATCATGAGCACAGAAACACCCTACCAGCATGACAATACGGAATTCCATCTTCCTTGTGTCCCCACCACATCACAGGCGACCACTCGTCCACGAGGTTGGCGAGTGTCTGGAGGTGGCCGTATGCAGCCGGCTGGGGGCCACGCGGTCGGCGCAGTGCGACAAAAGTGAAGAAAGAGGCAAATATAAACAGTGCAATGCATAAGTTCCAGATCTGCGTGAGGGTGTGAAAACGTCGTAGCAGTTTTACATACGCGTAAAGTGCGAACCTGGGCAGTATACATGACTATGTACGAAATCCGTAGTGTCCCGTCAGAGGCGACGTCATGTACGGAGAATGAAAGCCCAAAAATCCAGTCTGTGATCGTCGAGGATGGTATTCAATAACACCTATAAAAGATACTAGACGGGAATGACTCACGCAGGAAAGGCTTTGTGGCAAAAAGTACAAGACAAATCGGATGAGTTAAGATAGAATTCGTTGCCGTTCTAAGTCCTTTCCTTCCGGTAGCGGACCTCCACTGCGTTTCGTCTCGAATGACATTCGCGATGAGCTCCGAGCAATGGAGCCCAAGTGTCAACGACCCCTGAATAACTGCCATGTTGACCAAGAGAAGGATCCACACCTCACCAAAATTGACACCCGGTAGATCATACGCGATGTAACTGGACTGCATATTGGGTAAGAACGACCACATTAGTGCACCCATGTTAGCATAGTCCTTGCGCTGGATATACGTGGAGAGTGCGGCCCATCCAGCGCAAGCTGCAACGATCACCCAGAGAAAAATGACAACTTTCCGGATGTTAGGGTGAGCATGCCACGCAGAGGGCTGTATATCTGATGGCTTCGCTGGACCTCCAAACGCGTCTAGGTCAGACACACAACGCATGCACCGGAAAGTAGCAGGGGTCAATTGCGTGTGATGTACCAGTGCGGCAGTCAAGTCGAAAGGTGAGGAGCTCCATGTCAATATTTTGACAGCCCGCATCCCTGACAATGCGATCATCACCTGGAGGAGGAGTGCGATGCCCAAAACGAGGAGAGATATCCCTGCGATGGCAAGATTCTGATATGTCAAGGAATAGTTGGGACATACGACGAGTGAAGCCGAGGTGTAGGATATGATGAGGAGGACAGCCGAGATACCATTAAACAGGACGCCGTTAGGGTTACACCATCCACGAGCTGCAGTCAGAAGGCGCAGATTGGTGTTGAAACGAAGCCGAGACTCTGAGGCTAGCGCGGAGCGCAATGAGATGCCGTGTGCGAGGCCTATGGACTCGGTGCATAACGTGACGATTAAGTTGAATGCCAGGGACAATATCTCCCCCTCCAGGGGCAACGGATTAACACCCTCGCTCACTGCGGGAATGTTGGTTACGTTTACTCCGAAGACTCCGTGATTGGCTAAAGTGACAATGCCTGCAACGATGCATGAGCAGCTAAAGATACTCGAGCATGCCACTCCGACAAGGGCATTCCTGCGACTCGCCAGACTGCGGTCGTAGAAATCGGTTCTAATATCAGCAGTGAACTTCGCATCAGCTATTATTGAGTCAAGGTCCTGGTCATTCGGGAGTGCGTCATATGGAAGTAAGCTTTCATCTGTCGGTTTGGAAGACGTTGCCATGGGAGGCAGAGACAGAAAGGCCAGTCTAAAATGAAGTAAGCTCGGACTAGAAACGAAAGGAGAACTCAGTCTTCGGATTAAGAGACTCATACTACGGCAGTGCATACCTATAAATGAAAAGAGAACTATGTAGGTAGTTAGAATGAAAATATGTATCGCCAAATGCTAATACACACCTCAGCCTTCAGATTGAGATACTGAGGAGGGTTCGTTCTGGGATGCCAGAATCAGAGAAACCTGTTGAAACGGAGAACGAAAAGCGCATGTATAGAACACGTGTAGCAAAGAGTGATTGTGCAAAATACGTACGACAAATGCATTTTGCTACGATGGGCACGCAGATTAATTCTATGGCCATCATAGCTTCTGGTGCATCTGACTTCATGATGGAAAGCGGGGCGCGCGACGCGGCATTTACGGGTATCCAGTGCAATGTGGCGACACTAAAAGTGCACACGTCAGGATGGTGATCACTGAAAGCCAGTCAAGCCAGACCTCCTTGTACTGTACACGTGTCCTTGCAAGATGCACAGGTTGGCTGCATCCCAGGCATGATGAATTTGTTCCTGTTAGTCAAACCCTTGCTTGCAGGTGGTCTAGAAACTCACGTGGGACGACTACACCTGGGCTAGCACAGGGTCCGACATGCTCATCTCCTTATCCTCTCGCCTTCCTGCACGAACATAGCACGATACGATGGTGACCGCTGAGACACTGGTCGCCAATGTTGGGAAGCTGAATGTATGCGACCCCTGTTGTCAAAGAATAAACTCTCCTCTAACGAGTTAGAGCATCTGCATTACACCTAGTCAGAACCTGGATTTGGATACTACGTTTGATGGAGAAGCAGACTAGAGTTAAGGAGCGAGGACAAATCATGTGCTAGCTGAGTGAGAACCCCGTGAAAGCTGCGGACATTTAGCGACATGAATCATTTGAACTGACCCATCTCCACAACTTTGCTAAGGGCATCTAGATTACCAACAAGGCGCTTGAGGAAACACACTGGAGAGCACTTCCACCCAGTACCAGGTCGGGAGTGCTGAAAATGGTGTAGTATTTTCTGCGTCACAATTTAAAGAAGTGACCGTTTCAGGGTGGATCGTGAGCCCGCGAACGTTGACACGTGAAATACGGCCTTTGTAAACTCACCACGTGAAGATCCTCCTGAATGTGTGCTTCGATTATAAGCACATATTCAGGTTGCCTCGTTCTTAAGGGCTCTGGTCTGAGAACCGACGTCGCATTCTCTCTTGTCCCCTGCGCTCATCCCCATCTGTGTGTCGTTCGACGATTTTTGTCCACCCCATGCACCCACCTCCTATCTTATACTCCAGCGTGTTTTGGTCTGGATTCGTTTTTCTTCGGATTCTTATAAGGTCTATGCACATTTTCAGACCATCACGCTCTCGGCGAAGGTCCTGCGCCGGCCCAGCAAAAACCAGACACTCCCACACACAAACCGAATCAATTTCTAGCCAAACTTCGTCAGACCTGATTCATTTTACAAAGCTCTCACCTCTTTCATAGCAGTCTAGCTGTTTATCTCGCCATAGTAATCTCGTTACTTCGCTCATCATCTCTGTATTCAATTAATCTCTCCTTACTATATTGAATTCTCTCATCTTCACCTCGATTGAGCGATAGTACAAAGGACTCCTGTAGTCCATTGCGTGAACCAAAATTTCGAAATACAAATAAATAGATTGACTGCTCTTTCGCGCCTTTGAAAATTTTCGAGAACGTTATCACTCAAGGCTTGTATTGATTTTCATGTGGCATAATGGCGGAAAATGAATGAGGTTTTTGTAGGATGGAACTCCCCACCCTCAAAACTTATCTGCTGGATAGGAGCGTGACGCATAATATGCACGACCACTGTTGCAACATCTGAAGTAATCTCACAGCCGTCCACACATTTAGCAAATCAAGTCAATTTGCGATGCATCTAGATTCTTGGACCAACTTTCCATATGCCTAGCTAATATAGTTTGAATTTAACTCATACAATTGATCCTTCCAGATGCACGCTCATGGTTAAATTATAAAATTGTTCATTATCTGCACAGTAAAGAGATAGTTCGACAGAGGCAGTATATGTATTGGCATCTGCCAGTAGTACTTTGTTGGCTATCTCGGGTGTAAGCAAGTAGAATGCTGAGCACTACCGGCTTGAAATTACCTAATTTGGTAACAGGTGCGGTGTATACCTCGTGTAGCCATTAGTTCGGTTTAGAGCAATTAGTTTGTTTCAAACGCCATGGACAATTTTCCTGACGGGGTCTCCGCGCCAGACCTTACTACATTGTCTTACGACGAATCCGTTCCGTACGAATCACAAGTTCCCACTCATCCATCCAATGATCCAGAGCGGGCCACGTTACTCAACCGCATAGGGAACACCAAAGTGTACCTCTCTCTGACACTGCCCAGGCAAGATTTGCCAAGGTGCGCTAATAGTATGTCAACTTCAGCTTTCAGAAAACGACCCTGACATGGGAGTCTGTCCCCGCTTGACCCTGAAGCGCAAGCACACAGAGGGGGACGATGACGACGACGTAGATATGGAAGAAGGTGAAGACGGGTTTAGCTTCCGTGTTTGGCATGTAACTTACCCACTGCTACCAATTAGAAACCACCCTGACTTTAAGAGCAAATGCTTTGCTACTCACTGGCACCCCAATTTCCCACCTGCCCACCACCCGGATCTTTGCATATGCCACCCATTTCGACACGCACCCCATAGCCCTTGAATGGCTGACGACAATAGCTGCATCCTCGTTTATGAATCAACTGCCTCTGCGCGTACTGCACATCGGTACCTCCAAAAATCTGCTACAGAGGATATGGATGCAGATGGCTTCATTACGGCAA